GTAATTATTTTCGGTACATTAAACTGATAATAACAATCTACGGCCTATAGGTTATGGCTTAGGGTACGTGATGTGAATATGCAATCTGTAGTTTTATTATAAGGGACACAACTATATGACGTTTGTATTTAGGTACCTTTTACAGGCCAAATAATATGTAGATCAATCCTATGTGAACGTTGAAGCATTATCTTTTATTTTATTTGTTTGGACAACCAGCAAGGCAAACGCGCATAAAATGAATTGTTTTATAACTAAAAGTACCTACTAAGAACTACTTAAGTGTGTCTTAAAATAAAGGCTGCCACAGCATGCAACGTCTTCTATATTTATTTATTTATTTCCATTGGGGCATACTCACCAAACTCTCGTTAGGACTATACCTAATGGTCAAATAATTGTAATCATTCTTGTTTTGAAATAAACAATTACCTACCAAAATTGATCATTGCAAAATATACTCAGCAACTAGCAACCAAAGATAGCATGTTTATCATCAAAGCTACATAAATAGGTGTTATATGAACATAGCTATCATTATATGCGGTTTCTTTTTTGTCATTTGCGAATATCATCCATCCTTATTAAATTAAATTATTATTAATCTATTTTTAGTACAATTATACACACGTACGTGTTGAAAACTATTAACTAAACCTTATTTGCAAGTTTAATTAATAATGCTAAAGGTAAATTAGCTAATTCGCATAGCCTAGGTTTATAAATTAATAAATAATTAGGAAAATCAATGACAATCATTATCGCCGTCAGTGAACAATAAATCGACAATAGAATTATTGTACTACGTGTTACCAACTCACTTTACAAACATGATTTTACGCTCTACGGATCTTAATAAATGTTTGAATATCTGCTTACTAATGAAATAGTTAACTCACATTTTTATTAAATTCATTTAAAATAATAACTCCGTCTAATGCATGTAAAATCATTCACATATTTTCCGTTGATAGATTTATTAGTATATTTTATTATTGCGTGAGTCCAAAAATTTATGATAAAGTAATCGGTATAATTAAAAAATGATAAACCTTTTTTAAAAAATAACTATGGTGCGAGCGATATATTTATTTGTTTAAATAACAAAAAAAAATTTCACTAACTTTAGTATCTAATTTGCTATAATACCAAATATGTTACAACTGCGATACCTTACTTTGGTGATTGTGGTAATAGATTGCAATTTAGCGAAGTGCAATACGCTGCACAGAGGCAGAGGTCATCAACTCAAGTAACCCGGCTCTACCCGGTGACTGTTCTGCGCACTACGACATCGCTCGCTGCTTGCGCAAGAGATCCTCTCGGCTTGCTCGACTACATGCATGAAACATTACATCGTTATAGGTTGAAATAAGTAGGTATATCATCTCTATAATACCCTCGTAATTATCTCCGAGATAATTTATCTCACGAGAGAGCGACCCAGTCAAATAGTGTTGAGTTCTTGCGAAACTCAAATCGGCATCATTACGGCCCCTCCATCTGCAATTCATTCCAGATGATCGTCTGCGAGTTGCGAGTGTTAAATCAAACTTCAAGGTTCGTGTCGGAAACTAGGTTTACAGTGTCCATTGTTGAGGTGCAGTGTGGTCTCAACATAAACGGACTATACGTGCCAACGCAGTCATAACGCAAGATATATTGGACGTCTCGAAGATTAGCTACAATAACTTTAACTTTACAGTATACGTACTCTATTTTTACCACAATTTTAATTTCAATAACACATTACTCAGCACCCATCTAAGGTAAGGTTTTGCCTCATTTATCTCCAGCTACCCCGAAATAAACTGATAATGCCCTCGGCGAGAATTGTAATGTTAATATACGGAATACTTGTATCATATGATATACATACCTAATGTTATAAATACCTACTCCAAGTAAATGGCCTCCAGCCGTGTAAGTTATAAGCACGATAGTCTAGCCTCAAAGCTTATTAAATCTGAAAAAAGCTGCAATATCTACTAAAATGTCTTAAATCCAGGTTCAGTATTCATCGATCAGGTCTGCATTATTACTCAGCCCTAACCAGCGATGATCATCACAACATAAGTAACGTAACCAAACTCTGATCTAATAATTACATCTTCTAACTATATAGTCCTGAGAATCAGATGATAAATGATATGTGAGTTCGAAGTGTCAGCCATGTAAGGCATCTTATGGTGTAGAACTAGGGCATCACCGTTTGACGACATAAGGCGTGACGCGAAGGAATATCGTGCTATCCTCATAAAGTTGTTGTAATCCATCAGCGCGGCCGTAGCATTATCGCAGATCACGCAGGGTATGTCCAACACGAAACATTATACACGTGTCTATAGGCAAATGTTTTGGATTAATGATACATGTAATAATCCTTGTGTATTTTGATGTGCATACTTTATGACGCCTTACAATTAATTGACCCTTGATATAATCGATATTACTATAATGAATAACTGTAAGTAAGAATAAGATTTGTGTAGCTGGAGGTACGGCATACCAACAACTCACTAGATAGATATTTTACGACAACTTTATGAAACGTTAATGTTTCTTGTCAATCTTTCTGGCTGTTCAATTTCTATCAATCTAACTATCAACAAGAAAGGTAATCAATCTTTGTGTGCCTTCACGAGTTGATCTGTCAGCGAATTATGTAACTTCTGGTTGTAACGCGTTTATGTCTTTTCTATGAAACGCATTGTTTTTATAGGATAAACATATTTTTTATTATTTAAAAGATATTCCTATAAGAGTAAACGAAGAAATATTGTTAGGAGAGAGTAGTTAGGACTATAAAGATGTTTTTACATGTATTCGATTTAATAGTTTTAACTTAACTTTATAGCAATTTTAAAAATACTAGCTATACTTAATGCTCGAAATATTTCACTTGAATGAGGTTAGCTAAGAATTCTTCACATCATTTTAAAACAATAAATAGTGGAATATAGACAGTTTAATTTTGTATCAAGTAATATTTAAATTAATATACTTTTTTAATTATGTATCTCAACATCGGGAAAACATTTTGCATAATAATACGCATCTATTTATATCCGGGAAATGTTACTAAAGATCATTATAATCCTGAGATAAAACCGGTATCTTTAATTGGTTTTAGAACTGGTAGCCGACTGGCAGTAGATAGACCTAGACGACCATCATTATTGTTCGATTTTATAATCATACTAAGCAATTTACTTTTCAGTGCTTCAATCATACTCAAAAACTCAATTACGGCTAAAATGGCAGACACACGCAAACGTTTGATAATCTCTACGTAAAATTATTTAATAGCAATATAGTACATATTAGTATAAAATTTATACTCCTCATAAAATTAAACCTTTCTCACTTATTACACTTCTCACGCAGGGGGCCGGGGCGGGGCGGGGTGGTGGTGAAAACGATGTTTTTTGTAAAGTACCTACTAATCATCTATATATATAAAAGAAAGTCGTGTTAGTTACTTCGCTTATAACTCAAGAACGGCTGAACCGATTTAGCTGAAAATTGTCAGGGAGGTAGTTTAGAGCCAGGAGAAGGACATAGGATACTTTTTATCCCGTTCGAAACAAAAAAAAAAGTCTGCTTATTTATTGCCATTAAGGCGGAACAAAGTTCGCCGGGTCAGCTAGTATTACTATAATATCTCTTTGTTAGATTAAACAAAACTTGCATAATTATGTCTAATGGCTCGAAAGCAATAAATACATTTTTTATTTATTTATTTAATTAGGAGAAGAATCGATACTACATGGATACATAATGTAAGAAATATTATCCGCCTGTCAGTAACTCAAGGTATACATACACCCTTTTGCCTCAGCTGGATTGAAACCATACCGTATGTGATGTATGACGAACTCGTGCAGTTTTGTACATTTTATATTTATGATTTGCACATTTCGGTAGGGGTAGCGAACCAAACGTGAAATCAAATTTTGTACATAATTACGATTACACGTCTACTGGAACTGGCGTGTAAGTCCGCGAAGTAATGAGCCAGATGTCCATTAATTATTTTATTGATATATTTAATATTTAAAATATCCTGATTAGTATTTTAAATTAAGTTTATTTGTTATATTTATACGCCAATTACTTGTTGAGACTACTTGACATTATCATGTCGTTAAATAAATTGGCTAACTACGAGTACTCAACTGATATTTATCAACCAACACAATCTGGTGAACGTTGTTATTATTTCTTACAAAATTTTAGATAGTTAAAATATGAAAAAATATATTCATATTATTGCATTGCATTTTGAAACTTTAATGATCGTCTAACTAAAAAGATCAAAGGTGGATGGTACGAGGTACATAAATCGTTTAAATTATTATGGCCGCTAGTGTCAGCTGCTAATTGAATCTATAATTTAAGGCGATATTATTCATAATAGCACTTAAATATTATTACAAATAAAAGTAAGTAATTTTGCTCTTTTGGTCCTAGCTTTTTTTCGTATAAAATCCGTCTTTAAGAAACATAAATCGACCTCCGTCATCATCCAATTTTAACTATTCAGATAAATTACTTTCAGAGGTTATTGACAAGCCTATTCCCATCAGTATACAATAAAACAATCTTCAATAATAAAAAAATACACTCTACAAACCACTAATATCCTGATGAAAGAGTTTTATCGGAAAATGTCTCTTCAATTCAAAACTTTTATTTTACCGCTTTTTATAGCTCTTAAAATTATTAGCTCTTAATAAACTATTTAAAAAAAACGTAACTATTTCGACATGAAGCAGATACATATTTGTAAACAACACGCCCTAAACTTTATGTAATGATGGTAAACAAAAACCAAACATTACTTACACCAATTATGTGACTGTTTGACAAGCATACACCTTGCTAACGCGCATATTACGTAAATTGAGTATTGGATCCGGCTGCGACCTCCAGAAGGTCTCTAGGTCCTGACGGATGAAGAGGCGCGGCGTAGCGGGCTCCTCTTCTCTCGTACACATTGGAAGTGAAAGTGAATGAATGCTGCAGGCTTAATTAGAGAGGAGGTGTTCGCCTGCGCCAGTCCCTCCGACGCCGCCGCGCTCCACAGTCGCGCCGCAGCCACGCGCTACTACCCGCTACCTCACCTCCGACACCGCACCACTTACAAGCCGAGGTACTTATCCACCAACTGAGGTTGGTGAAAACAGTGAATTATATGCAAATATCACATAGCTGGGAACTTTGGAACATTCGCGAGTGAATTTTCTTATAGGATCTATTGAACCAGGTATTCCTACAGGATCGGTGCTCCGGTTAAAACAAACTGTGTTGATTAAGTAGATATATTTAAACGATCGTTAATTATAGATAATGTCTATTATTCAAATTGTATTTTTTTAATTAATATAATAATTTGTTTATTTGGAACTATGGAGTAAAAAGAAAAATAATAATTCTACTATTATGTATTACTAATTTACTACTGCTAAAACACTGAAATAAGGCAGGATAAGTGAAATCGAATTAAAACATTAATATTTATTTCTCTATATCTATATTAATCTAATTAAATGTGAATTATTCGTTCCCTGAAGAAATTTAATAAAATTAAGTCACAATTTTTCTCACAGTTAGCTTATGTGTAGATCAACTTAACTGATTTTGAATAAAATATTTGTCAATTTATTGATGCATCAAAAGAATCAATCGACTTTTCCACGAGTCGCGTCCACCGCACGCGCAGGTGCCGGCTTTCTTATTGAACGTGCGCTGTCGATGATGTCAGGTACTTTCGTCTACTTTACAGTAGTTTGCAAATATGCAGTTAAAAACACCTTAGTGCATACAGTATTGTCAATCTTCTCAGGTTGTGAAGCGATAACGAAACTTTCCGCTACCATAAAACGCGTCCCCGAATCGACGATTTCTCGCGCTGTACAGCTTTTCACGCAAACGTTTAAACTTGCAGCAAGGAGGTCACCGAGGCGTGTTTTGCTTTCACAAATACAACAAAATAAATTCATCTCACGTATCGATTGTCCTCGGGCATTCGAGGTCTGCATAAATAAAAGAAAGCGAAGTCGTAATACGGACTCGGCGACTAACCCGCGACCACTTTCGTCGTAGGTACCCGAATGCCTGAACGAATCGTAGAGCAGCCGACATTACGAAGGGATCTACCAAATATCTCGGAACACTGGACAGAGAAATGTCAAGAACTTTTATTGAAGTAAAAAAGTTTCCTGTTCAAAACTATTTAGCTAAGTAAAAGTAACAATAACATCGTGTGAATATTATTGTGCTGGGAGAATGTTCTTTCCACGATAATCATTGCAAGTTCACACGCAATTACGTGAGCGTACGTTTTCAAGAGTTCCATTTTGTTGCAGGATGAGCCGGCACGTTTGCCTGGCGGCCGCCGCCCTGTTGGCCGTGCTCTGTGTGGCCGAAGCACAGCGGAGACTTGCCCTGCCTGACCCTAGAAGCTGCGCTAACAGTACGTATGTCTATACCTTGCTGTAAAAACTTGCAAACCTAATCTACTCCACAGAACATTAAAATTATGTACCTAAACAATGTGAATACCTCATACCTTTGCATCGTTTATCGCTACGCTACATACAGTTTTAATGTTGTTATAATTATAATAAAACGAAAAAGACCTGTAAAAATATTGTTTATAAAAGAAATAACATATTACCTAATTAACTCATTTTCATAGCACATAAAGTAGAAAATACAATGTAGGGTAGTGTAGGTACATTGCGTAGTTACCGGTGTTACTGACAAGCTCTATCGAAGCTGTTATTATTAAGAATACTATTAATTAAGATCATCAGTTGTGGTGGTGACCTTTTTTGCAACCTTCGAACATCAATTAATGATAGATCAACAAAGTTTGTTTGTTTGAAACACGATAACTTAGTACCTATACGATAAGATAAGATTTCGGGTTATCGGCTATGATCAAGAGAAACTTTAGGATTCAAAATGTAATGTGAACAATTTTAAGCAAATGATGAAGTTAAGCAAATGGTAGTTAAAAAAAAGGGCATTTAGTTAAATGAACGTTGTGACCTTCACTTTAAATTGGTCAATGTTTGGCAGTTAGTTTTTGAGAAAAATCCTTGTGGGAAATGGTACAAGCTTTCGCAACATGTGCCCGTATGCAAGGCGCGGCGCTCTCATGTGGGCGCGCGGGCATCGCACAAAGCGATCGATACACATTCAGTTCTCCACAGCTCAACAATACAAACAAAGATCCTTTGTCCGTTGCTAAATACTGCCAACGTACATTACTGCTTGCTGTATTTCAAAATACCATACGCTCTTACAACACAACACATACAAAGGACTACTTAATATTACTTTAAAACGTAAAATTGTCGGTTAAACTCAAATTTTTGTTCTCAAAATTTGCATTTAAGTTGTAACATGAATATTTTTGTGTAAATTATAATAAGCGTAGTTAAAGAATCTTTGAAACAGGAGTCACTCTCAAGCTCAAGTTGCACTTTCTCCTCCGAGTCGAGATGTTACAAGACGGTGCTCGTCTCGTGAACCCGCCTATTTACTTTCTTTAAAGGTCGGTTACGCCAATGTAAAGACGGAGGTTATGTAATTACCATGAAATTTTGCGATTCTCCATGTTTTCCATTATTTTTTTACTCAGAGATACTTGTCAATTAACTATCCATCCGACATACCAAACCAGTCAATGGAGGTTCTTATGTAAGACGACATTTCAAAATATTTTTCACGGAAGACCGGTCGATGCTTCCGGCACTCATAAGTCGCAAGCACGTAATGATTTTTGGAAGACATGTGCGAATGGCTATGTAATAGTAGTATCCGAGATAAGTTAGAGAGGTTCAAACAGGCACTTTCTAGTTACGAAATAAACGCTTCATTGAATGACCTGATGGGCTTGTTTTGATTGCATACAATTTCACGGACGATAATGCCCCGTATTAAAGCGAGAGCTTTATTACGTCGTTATTGAACCATTGTATGCTCGGGCATTGATTGAATAATTTGTTGAGAACATCGTTACATCAAGGTCGTTCGAAATCTGGGTTTGTTTGGGTTCGGCCGCTCAACAATGTGTAGTAAAGATTATCCTACATGATAGGACACAAAATTTCTGAAATTAAAATGTATGCTATACTATGTGTATTGCTATATGTTTTTAGTTTAAGACAGAATACACCCATTTTAGGCAGGCATTCCTTTTCTTCACACTCTACTACGTACTTGAAAATAAACGATGCTAGTAACGCTGATGCAAAATGCAACGGAACGACTAGACGTTAAATATACCGTTTCGAAATACTTAAGCTATAATAGCCCTAGGTCTATCGTCAGCTTCACACACAGCTTCAATAGGGGATATTTTCTTTGTATTGAGCACTTAGTGGTCGCTGTTCTCTGTACGCAGGTTAAACAAGATGTTGTAATACCTAACCTCTCGCTCTTTTTGTTGCAACAGATCTACGAAATACATAAGTCAAAGTCATTGAATACAATAGTATTTCTCATGTGTCATTATTTTAGTACCAAATAAAAATTTTTTCTTTCTTTCTTTCTTTCTTTCATGTTTTTGTTAGAAACGAAATATTTTCCCTTGTCCAGTATATTAATAGTACCTACCTACTTATCATGACCTAGATAATTATAAAATAAAAATAATATATTATATCATGTGTCATGGTTTGAGTTTACATTAATAAAAAATAGATAGGTAATGTAATCCTCAATTAAACACCATCTAGCAGCACGCCTATTTGGCGTTCTGGGGTAGAGCAGCAGGAGTGATTTCTTTGATTTGAATGGAAAAGAGAGCCATAATACCGCACTTCATCTGAAAAAAAATGTAGGAATTGATAATGATGTCGTGAAAGTGTTTACTGAAGGAATGAACACCGCTCGTAACACAAACATACCTGTTTAGCTTAGAACGAGGGGTTAGGGCGCATTCATACGGGATAAATGTCTTTGACGATTCGTAAAAAAACACGATTCGTCTTTGTGTGAACAAGCTCTAAGTCTTTAGTACTTCTAGCATGAATAATATTCGTCTTCGAATCGTTTGCGTATTCGACAAAATTCTATACTCAACCTTCCAATTATACGATAACGTGACAATTTTGATTCTCAAAATAAGTATCGTGCAACCTACTAAGTACACTTTACGACACGTTCACAAGGGCGCTGTTGTAGTTTTCGTACTACAACTGAATGTGAGTAATCTTTTTTGTTGCAGGAGTCCGACACTCGACGTACCGGGACGCGCGAGGAGTGCTGCACTCGTACTTCTTCAGCTGGGAGCACGCGCCCACCCGCAACCTGGAGGTGGACTGGCTCGACGCCAGGAACATCTGCCGTCGCCACTGCATGGACGCCGTCTCCTTGGAGACGCCGCAGGTATGTTTTTAATTCATGACCAGTCAATTCACTCACATCACTTAACATAAACTAATTTTAAAATCACTTTTATTTAGCACATTTCAAATGGAATTTGGTGTTTCAATTAGCATTTACTCGTAGTTAGCTAGATTTCAATTTACAATTATCATTTTTAGAGTCAAGCATGCGCAATTGAATTTACATTAGACCAAATTTTGCAAGCGTCCAGTGGCCTCAGCTTAATTGCAATTTTCAGATTCCGCACTTTACTCTAACATGTCTCGTTCTGTAATCAAGATTATCACTCGCTCAGATTTGTAAAGTTCTTGTGGGAAGAAGAGAACAATGGGAATTACAAAATGTCAGCCTTGAGTTACGTTTCATTTGGGCACTTTAGAAGCTGATGCACCAAATGATATATCCATTTATCTGTAATGACCTAAATACAATCTCCACTCAGATATATCACGATACAGGGTCAATCGTGATCGTGATGCGTTCACTTTCCAAGTTAACATGTTCGTAATCAAGGAGATACTTTGATTAAACATTTCGTAACATCGTAAGGATGTTATTACGTTGCAAAAATTATCCGTCTTTGGAGAAGAGCAATAAACATAATCACCTGCGGCATGCCTGCAGCATCTATTACCTACCTGACGCAATGATTTACTCACTTGAATTAAATCAAGCAATACATTACCTATAATTGAATCTTCGAATAACCTTGCATAACTTATGCAGAAACTGCATAGATACGGAAACTAAATCCGGAAACGGAATGAAACAAGAATACCCATAAAAGTACGATATCATCATTCACACTTTTTTAGATTGTAAAATCTACTCGCGTCGTCTCCATATAGATGTCAGTTATTTGATCGTATTCCTTATAAAAACCGCGCCAACGCTTTTATTGTGCTTACGTTGATGAGCAGCGGAAAATGCGCATTTTCCATAAGTGCTTCCTGCCGCGGTCGCAAGATGTCAACGAACAGCGCACCTCCTCGCATTGTTATTTGTTGTTGCATTGTTATTCGCCGCGTACCTAGTTGGCGAGCTAAGCTCTAACATCCGGCATTGCGTGTCGGTCGATGGAAACCGTATACAGTCAGTTAAGCCAACATCAATATTCATTAGCTCGTCGATTAGATTGATTCGATTTGTAGAGCGTTGAAGACGTCGCGTGAAAGGGGTGCAACGGCCGCGGCGGAGGCGGAGGCCGGAGGCGCAAGTGGCACGCGGCACACATACCGGCCGGAGCCGGCGCAGCCGCGTCGCCCACTTCTCGTGCCGGACGCGCCCGGCGGACGTCTGTTTCCCGTCGTGCCCAGTCTTTCGCACTTGCCTACTTCTGGGAATAACACCGTATACCGACCTAGAGCTTTTTCCTCACATTACGTTTTTACAACTAATACCTTTAAGTAGGTTAGCTAAACTTGCATGAAGATCAATAAAGCATCTGTATGAGGTAATTTATTATACAGAAAAAAAAACTTACATTTAGCTTTATTGTGTTACATTTTACATCACAAAGAAGGTGAGCTACCTACATTGTTAGTTTTTCAGTACAACTTAGTTTCACATTAACAAGCGATAAAATCACCAACACGTAAATGTGCAGATGACAATCATACAAAACCACATGCGATCCACAGGTGCGCTCTACATCTTCATTCGCTGCTTCTCTTCGATAAATCTTCTTACCTAGTATTAGCCATATTTTTTTTCTTGTTTGGTTCACTCATACTGTTATTAAGTAAACAGTTACGGTCATTAATTATTAACTTCCATAGTTACACGCGATTGCGTTGTTAGACGTATCTCGCCATAATTTCGCGCGTGCTTATATGCCGCATGATGCGCAATAAGATTATACTTAGTACCGTAATAATGTTAGCTTAGGTCGTTGCTCTTTGACTTTTAAACTTTGTTGAAAAGGATTTATCACCAAATCCCGTGTAGCCTGTTTGCCAATTTCAAAACGCATGCAGTTTGAAGTTAGATGTATTTATTTATGATTCTATTTGCAGGAAAATGAATTCATAAAGCAAAGGATCGCTCGCGGCAACGTGCGGTTCATTTGGACGTCGGGCCGCAAGTGCAACTTCGCGGGCTGCGACCGGCCCGACCTGCAGCCCCCGAACGTCAACGGCTGGTTCTGGTCGGGCTCCGGCGCCAAGATCGGGCCCACCACGCAGCGCAACACCGGCGACTGGTCCTACACCGGCGGCTACGGACAGCAGCAGCCCGACAACAGGGAAGCTGCCCAAGTACGTTCTATTTTTAACCTACGAGTATCTGAATATTGCTATAGCTACTCTTTTCTTAAAATTTAGTAATTATTTTATGAAAAAAAAAAAAAAAAAAAAAAAAAAAGTTAACGAACGGTCACTTTTGACTGCTTTGTATAAAAAATAGAATGGTAAAGAAGATGACAATTACAAAATTTGAATTGGCAGATTATTCAATCATAGTAAAGTAGGTGCTCTACCTCTGAACTTCCTCATGACTTAGAACACCAAAAATGTAGAATCATCGTACGTAATGGTCTCTCACAATAGATTACATAAAATAAAAAGACAAGTCACCATTAACCTCAAACCGTAATGTAACAATGATAAGTAAAAAATGAGATTAACCTACATGTTGTCTGTACAATTGGTGTTTTTGCAGGGTAACGACGAGTCGTGCCTGTCGATCCTCAACAACTTCTACAACGACGGCATCAAGTGGCACGACGTGGCGTGCCACCACGTCAAGCCGTTCGTGTGCGAGGACAGCGACGAGCTGCTGAACTTCGTGCGCTCGCGCAACCCCAGCCTGCGTCTATGAGCGACCCCACCCTCCGCACCTCTCGCCTTCTAACGCATTAGATGGCTGACGTTGTACAAAAACATGTGGCTATTACGGCTATCTATATTTAAGTTATTTATTAATTTAACAATCGCGACTCACTTATCTGCATGGTATCTTACCATATCGAGTGATCTACTACACGGCTTTCCGAAGAGTAAATAATTTATGTTGTGACAGTCAGTATTGTATTTATGTTTAATGAAGCTGTGGTCCAAATTTTATTCTCGTAGGAAAATCACTGTCGCAACCTGAAGGTCAGTCATCTTCTCTTTGGTACCTTGTATTTTTTCACTGAATAAGTAATACTTTGTAAAAAGTCTTATTTTGCACAAAATAGGAATAACTTATAGGTATTAGAATAAATAAATAATAATGCCAATATAGTCTTTTATTTTTATTTCTGACTAATGTCACAAAACTAAGGTAATGTACATCATTAATTAAATTAAAAAACAGTTATGAAGAAACAGTCCGTTGAGTGAAAAACTTAATTAGGCAGCCTATAACGATAAAAATTTAAAAATTTCAATTTTACTACTATTTGCTAGTCGTACAAAACAGTTATAAAATATAGTCAAATAGGAATTATTGACCAATTCCCATCATTTGAAATAGGTGTACTTATTTTACAAATGCATTTGCTATCATTACATTATAACTAGTAACGTGTGGGACTTGTATGTACCAACAAAAACTACATGATACTTCACATACACTGTAGCTTCTTAACAATAATAGACCCATGATTAATAACGTTATAGAATTTCAACAAGGAAAGTCTGGATTCTGTCTGATCTTTGATCCATTGAGTGTGAAGTAACTCATTCACAAAGAGTATCCACGCGATTGCAATACTTAATTTTAAACATAATCCTTTGACGTAGAGCTCGTAAATTGTTTTGTTACACGTAATTTTACCAATTAGTGACTGCGTCAATATCTATGTTAATGGCAATGCCTATCTCTCGAGATTTGGTTAAATGTCTCATTAATTCGATACAATTAAATTATTGCAGTGGAACTAATAAATTACGTAAGAGATGCCACATGAAACAAACGTACAATATAATATTTTTTTATATCATCTAAATCCGTTTTATGCAAAAATTACGTCCAATAAGCGTACTATGCATTTTAAATATTAATAAAACCTTTAAATAAACAAACTTTGAACCTACCTATTGGAAATATTAAAATAAAATTAATGGGAACTTCAGAAAAATCCATAAGTTACTACTATCAGTCTTCAGAAAAAAAATGTAACGAATATTTACTCGTTACGTCATCATCATAAATAACTTAAAAAACTTATTTAAAAAGCAGTATCCAAACAAAACCAAGGCACTTATATTTTAACTAGTACTTTTAAGGCACAAATAACAATAAATGCAAAAAGCAACTTAAAAATAGTTAAGTAGATTTAATTTTCATTGCGGTATGTAAACGAAATAATAAATGTTTTTCTGCAGTCGCATATAAAAATGCCTGATATCGTCAATATCTTGATTCTTCAGTGAATTATTCAAATGGTTCCGTTTTTTCTAACTCTAAAACATTATAACGGTAACAGTCGCATCGTTTAGTTGTGAATGTAGTTTCTATGGCAATTAATGTAAATCTCGTCTTCTGCAGTTGTTAAACCGTTTGACTTTAAATCCAAACGATTGTCGCATAATTGCCAAAAATAAATAAAAGCTAGGAGAAAGCAGGAAAGATGTTAAGCTGAGAAATGTATATTATGTCATACATACAACATTCACACTTGCCAATTATTGTGTTGATAAGGTTACGAAACCAATCACGGCGCGCGCGACTTGTTTACCAAAACAACGCGACACCAATTTATAATAATCATTTTTTAACTGCATAAACAAACTTCACTCTCAGCTTTCTTATCGAGCAGCTTATACATGTGCGGAGTCGTGTGTTATGAGGTTTAAAAAAAATACGTGTAACTTTACAAATAAAAGGAGCAGTTCAAATCTCAATGTCAAAAAATTTACTGTGTAGTCTGATAGTTAATCAAATTCAAACATTTATAACATGAAACATTTATTTTATCTAGATCCGTTTAGTAATTTTGGCGTAAAAAATTACACTATCACATTTTTATTAATTCGTATGTCATTCGTATAAATATCAATAGGACTCGATATTATCCTTACTTTTAACTTACAAATATAACTCAAAAAAGTGTAACAGCACGCATACAGCAAATCTTTGGTTATGCAAAGTATAGGACGTTCAAAATAGTCATACAAATAAAGCCCCATTTCACTTCACGGAATTTTCCGATCTGTCACTCGATTTAGCCTACTAGTTATAAAAGATTTTCATTGTCCTCGACAGGCTGAAATGTTCCCCAACAGATGAACAGACTTAAATAAGACGTTGACCTCACATGACCTAGTTATTCTAATAGACAAATAAATGAGTTTTAGAAGAAAATAAAATGGTTAGTACTTGCATAACAAATACAAACACTTACCAAGATGACCATCACGAATGTTGTATGGCCGTGTCCGTGAAAATTACAAAATGTCAATTTACTGCGGTGAAAGTCAAAGTTTGCGATTTTATTGTGTAAGAACATCAGCATGAAGGCATCAAGATTATGAGATTTTTATGCTTCAAAGCGTCATCAAAATTAGTAAAGGTTCGCCAAAATAGTAATTGTTCTTTCTACCTATCTTACGAACATTCCAGTTCAGTTCTTGGAATAACTCAGAGCTAAACCACACGGTATGGTGCGGCTCCGGTGCCGCTCTTATTAATCTAATCTAGAAAACGATATCTTCTTAGCTATTTCAATTGCAATATAAATAAACAAAACAATCACAATTCCGAACTTCCGAGTCTTCCAATTTGCCTACAGCAAGGTAGACTACGGTTGCACGCTTCAATGCGAATTTCCATTAAAAGCTGTTTGTTGCGTCGCCGCGTCGTTGCCGCTAGATGACGCTACTTCAAAATATCTCATAATGGCAAAGTTAACCAATAAGAGATATTTTCATTTTGTACAGAAAAATTATAAGAACGTTCTCTCATTACAAGTCACTGTGTAATTACTACACTCAAAACGAAATCTTAGGTCCAACAGAATATTGACTCTAGGGCTGTTTTTTTAGTCCCCACTTGAACAACAAGTCTACGTCTACGTTAAAAAGATCCCACGTTGACGTTGCGGTGCATCGCCGTAGCGGCGTTTTAGTTCTACATTTAAATCTGAACGACATACGTCACGGGCGTTGCGGCGACACGGGCGCACACCGCAACGTCAACGCCCATGTGGTACCGTATGCCTTGTTCGCACTAGTAAAGTAATATAATCGAGTGGCGAGTAATTTAGTAGATACTACTAAATCGTTTAGTCGAGTCAATCATTTTGTTCTATTTGACAGACGAGTAGCAGTTATGTCTTTCGCGCAATTTAAATTATCTATCTGCAATATTAAGAGTACTTTCCCTCCAGGTGGCATTACAAAATTCCACCCTGTATATTTAAGGTAACCCTGAGGCCCTTTTCACATGTCCCGGTTGCCGGCTAACCGGCGCCGGGTACCCGGTGGTGAAGTGTATGGGCATGCCGGATTAATTACGCCGGTACATGTGAAAGCTACGTACCATGCCCATACACTTCACCACCGGGTACCTGGCGGGACCGGGACATGTGAAAAGGGCCTGAGTCTACATACAGGCTAGAGGCCGACGTTTCCCGCGAGGATGGCGGCGAGCAGCGGCTTGTCCCGCAGCGCGGCGGCCAGCTCCGCCTCGTCCCACTGCAGGCGCAGGCGCCGCGCGCGCGCCGCCCCGCCGCCCACGCGCAGGGCGCCGGACGATTCTAGCAGAGAGCACGCGCCCGCCATCTCGCTCATGTCTTAAACCTTTTTTTGGCACCTGTCATCCGCTTTGCAATGGAGGGAAGTAGAACCTTAATTTCGAACTCCTCCTATGTTCTTCTGATTAATTTCGTTGCGGGTCCAATGACAGTTTAACTTTCCCCCGGGACAAACTTGACCTTCATTGGTTGGGTTTTTGTGGCGGTCAAGCTGTAGATCCTGGCTACACAGGAGTTGCAGTGGTGGGAACGAGAGGTGGGAATAGTCCCGTATTTATCGAGGAAGGCTATATAAAGTCACCTCTACAGCTAATAGGGATGGAACAGTAAAGAAAAATGTTACAAAAACGGGAAATATTATTCAACCTATTGTCACTAGTACGAACTACGAAGTCACGGGCACATCTAGTGGGTAGGTACATACAGACTAGAGGCCGACGTTCCCCGCGAGGATGGCGGCGAGCAGCGGCTTGTCCCGCAGCGCGGCGGCCAGCTCCGCCTCGTCCCACTGCAGGCGCAGGCGCCGCGCGCGCGCCGCCCCGCCGCCCACGCGCAGGGCGCCGGACGATTCTAGCAGAGAGCACGCGCCCGCCATCTCACTCATGTTTTAAACCTTTTTTTGGCACCTGTCATCCGCTTTGCAATGGAGGGAAGTCGAACCTTAATTTCGAACTCCTATGTTCTTCTGATTAATTTCGTTGCAGGTCCAATGACAGTTTAACTTTCCCCCGGGACAAACTTGACCTTCATTGGTTGGGTTTTTGTGGCGGTCAAGCTGTAGATCCTGGCTACACAGGAGTTGCAGTGGTGGGAACGAGAGGTGGGAATAGTCCCGTATTTATCGAGGAAGGCTATATAAAGTCACCTCTACGGCTAATAGGGATGGAACAGTTAAGAAAAATGTTTCAAAAACGGGAAATATTATTCAACCTATTGTCACTAGTACGAACTACGAAGTCACGGGCACATCTAGTTATACTTATACGAGCGTGACTTAAATGGCAGTGGGTAGGCACCATAAACATGCGCGTATAAAGCGGGGCTTTATTTAAGGCAGTGTTTTTCAACCTTTTTCATGACACGACCCCCTAGTATGAAAAAATTTTTGGCGACCCACAGGTTGAAAAACACTGATTTAAGGTAGCCCTGAGTCTACATACAGACTAGAGGCAGACGTTTCCCGCGAGGATGGCGGCGAGCAGCGGCTTGTCCCGCAGCGCGGCGGCCAGCTCCGCCTCGTCCCACTGCAGGCGCAGGCGCCGCGCGCGCGCCGCCCCGCCGCCCACGCGCAGGGCGCCGGACGATTCGAGCAAAGAACACGCGCCCGCCATCTCACTCATGTCTAGCGGCGCGATGTTGCGGCTTATTGCCACTCTGGAAACATAGGTACATAATTTTGCGCGTCGCTCTAATCAGCGACGCGACGTAGGGAAAGCAAAACAAAACACTTCAGACAAACTAACTTAGGTATAGTATTAAGATGTCTAGCGGCGCGATGTTGCGGCTTATTGCCACTCTGGAAACATAGGTACATAATTTTTATTGAATTTTTGACTTAAGCTTCAAAAGGCTTATTCCACTATTCCCCATTGACAATCCCCGTTAACGCCAATTGGAGCTTATAATGGGAATAATGAACTAACAAGTTCATTAATCCCCGTTATATTAGGATTTTATTTTTAACGTAATGGGGAATAATGAACTAAAAAGTTCATTAATCCCCATTACGTTTATTTATAAGTTTTATAAGTTTTAAAAATTATAAGTTTTATAAGTTCCGATTGGCGTTAACGGGGATTAGTGAACAAAAAGTTCACTATTCCCCGTTGACGGGGATTGTCAACGGGGAATAGTGGAATAAGCCAGCTTCAACCACACCAACGCGTGCAGATCGCCATCGCCGGGGCAATCATAAGCCAATGAAAGGTCGCGCTGTCATTGGCCTATTATCGCGCGATGGCGATCTGCACGCGTTGGTGTGATTGAAGCATTATTCTAGTTTTATGGGGTCCTACTGTCACTGCAACCGGTATCGATCAACTGTGATCGCCACTATTTTACACCTTTTGACTCGCCCTCGCAGGCGCGATCATAGGCCAATGAAAGATCGCGCGACCTGACAGTTCGCCCGCCTATGATCGCGCCTATTGTGATCGCCACTATTTTTACACCTTTTGACTCGCCATCACCGGCGCGATCATAGGCCAATGAAAGGTCACGCGAACCATGACAGTTCGCGCGCCTATGATCGCGCCGGCGATGGCGATCTGCACGCGTTGGTGTGGTTGAAGCATTATTATAGTTTTATGAGGTCCTACTGCACTAGGTGGACCGACGATCTGGTGAAGGTCGCGGGAGGTACCTGGATGCAAGCGGCGCAGGACCGGTCTTTGTGGAAATCCTTGGGGGAGGCCTTTGTCCAGCAGTGGACGTCTTTCGGCTGAAACGAACGAACGAACGAACGAACTGCAACCGGTCAACTGTGATCGCCACTGTTTTTACATCTTTTGGCGGGCGATATATTCTACATCCTGTGGGCTTCGGATGCGTTTGCCCAGATGTAAGCTAAGCTTAACGCATCAAAGGAAACAAATGTGCGCTGAAGGTTCCTGTTTCATTAAGACAGGGTATTAACGCCACCAGTCGCGCCACATTGTGACAAGAGCCCAAAGATTTCAGCGTCGTACTGGCCGATTGTGGTAAACCCACTCGTCGTAACACAAGCTTTTTACACAGCTTGTAGAACTGATGGCTGGGGTCGATTTTCGAGTGACGATCATGGACCGCAAGACGGCAGTAGGCAAGTGGGAACTCGGTGGACCGACGATCGGCTTAAGTTCGCGGAAAGCGCAGGAGCAGTCGTTGTGGATTTCCTTGGGAAGCCTTTAAACAGCAGTGGACGCGACGTCCTTTGGAACTAATAAGTTGTATGTGACATTTTTCTAGAAACTACGGATCATTTATCTTACTTGAGGTTAGATAAAGAGTAAATGGCGCATAAGCGCGCACACGTGACTACCTACTTTTTATAGACGTCGTGCAGTTTTCCCATGACGATGTCCTTATTTTTTCCTTTCGTCAGCATCAACATTAGGCTGCACAGGATGAGTTTCTGTTGCATCGGGAAGCCCTCATCCACGTCATTTTCGATCTTTCTTGAACCGCCGTAAATATTGTTGAGGACTTCCAACACCTGTTTGAGTTCCACCGTCACCGAGGAATCTTTCATCATGGTGTCAACCGACTGATTCTCTTTAAATTTATTACGCCTCGCGAGTTCTATCACCCGCCGTCCTATATCTAAGGCTCTTCTCATGTCGCCGGAAACCGCTGCGATTTTAGCTGTAAAAGAAAGAAGTAGGTAAGTATGCATTATTGCGACTAGTATTATACTATCAGTGATTGCATGAATTTAGTGCTTATAAGGCTTTATCTTTAGTTACAAGTCGAGTTAACTATAGTAATTTACCACTTTAACTGACTGAGGTTAATAATAAAATAAGAAGATATCGTAAAAAGGAGGCTTCGAAAAACCGAAAGACTAAAATGCTTCATTATTGCAGTGCATTTCTATTATTTAATAGTAGGGTAAGGTGGGGCACAATGAAACAAAAAAACGTTTTTTGTTCATAGAAACAAAATATCTTATTATTTTAATAAACTCTTTTCAAGAAAATTTACATTAGCTATCCCTTTAATAATCAACAATATCAAACTACATGTTTCTATAAGTAATCTTAAATTATTGGCACTTTTTCGAGATCAATTTTTTGTTGCACTGTGCCCCAGATCTGGGGTACAATAAAACTAGGGTAGGGGTACTATGAAACAGATTGGGGCACAGTCCGTAAACACTCTTGGCACTTTGTAGTTGGGCGTATATCGCACGACCTGTCCCTCTTCTTCTCGGTTTTCCTTTTTTTTCTTGAAATACCTATAGAATGTGCTAAAATTAATATTTTTCAGATTTTCTGCTTCTCTTAAGTTCATATCTGCTTCATTAGGAAGCTCTATATCCGTTTTTCTTTTCCGGTTACGAACCATTGTAGTGTTTTCTAAAAACAAAAACTTATCTTACACTGAAACATGTTTTACTGTGCCCCGTTTCACTGTACCCCATGACCCCCTTCAATAACACAAAAACATATAACATTCTTTAGGTTATAAACACCGGCCTTCGTCTGATGTCAATATTACAAGAAATATGCAAGAATTATTTAAAAAAATAGCCATACATACCTTTGGTAAACAGTCTACTAATAAAATCGAAAACCATTTCGTGAAAAGAGATACGAATTACTTTCAAAAATCAGTTTTTTTGCAAGAATTCAACAGGCAGCTTTCAAATTGAGAAAATACAACTGCACCAAGATGGCAGTGCGAACGATGAATAAAGCAGTGTGGCCAGTAAAAATAAATTGATAAAAAGAGGTAGAAATATTAAACTTGTTTTACTGTACCCCGTGTGTCACTGTGCCCCCTGTAACCCTAATATTCCTTACCTGCTAACATTTGCAAAGCGACGGGTGAAAACACGTTACTCCTGTCTTCATTGGCCAGCACTGTAGTAAATATCTGAATGATCTGTTCCTTGGTGTACGGCGCGAAGTGTAAGTTGCGCGGGCGCAGCGAGCAGCGCGCCTGCAGCCGAGGCAGCGTGCGCTCCGTCAGATCTAACGCGTTAGCGACGCCTATGAGCACGATACGGGAATCCGGGATCGCCGGCCACTCGAATATCGTGTACAGAACGGACTGCCGCTTGCTGTCCAATTGGTCGATCTCATCCAACACTAACAGGCTGTGAAGCAGTTTGTTACTTTTTAAATACGCTCCGCTAAACTGGTTTAAAACCTATCGTTAAAGCAAGTAGATAGTTCTAAATTATACACGACTTGACGATAGTTTTTTCAGGGAGGCAAATACAATATAGGTAGGTACCTGGGATTTTTTTACTGATTTAAAGTTTAAAAAACAGTTTTAGAAAAACTTTCTAGTGCATAATTAAATACTAACTTGGAATATTTCGTAATTTACCTACTTGGAAGTAATTTCGTGATTATTATTTACTCACATCATTTTATGTTTTTTTCTCAGATGCTTTTCGATTGCTGTCAAGCAGGCTTTTTCCGTAACTCCAGTCGTTTTCAACTTCAGATCTTTACAAATTCTATTAAATATACTGGCTGCAGATTTCATCATCGTACAGTTTATGTACACTTGTTCATATCCATCAACAATCTGGAACAGAATATCATCTACATCAATTTCTTCCTACGAATATAACTAAAATCCAGATAAGACGTCGCTCTAATTAGCGACGCGACGTAGGGAAAGCAAAACAAAACACTTCAGACAAACTAACTTAGGTATAGTATTAAGATTCAACTTCTAACATGATGACTCATATTGGGTACACACGTCGCGATAACATTTGGGCGACAGCGCAGCAAAAGCGAAGTCCTTGCGACTATGTTACACCAAAGTAAATGTAACTTTGGTGTAGCATAGTCGCAAGGACTTCGATTAATACTATATTAGTTAGGCGAAATGAAATTGAACTTACCTCAGGTAATTGCAAAATATACGACAAACTTGCCGTTTTCCCAGTTCCAGGTTGTCCCGAAATGTATATTGATGAGGACTCTTCTTTGTCAAGATGTTCGATCAAAAAAGTTTTCAGAATGTCTATTTCATTTTCCCTGCTAGTCAGTGGTTTCGTAGCTTCATTTGTATGTTTTGCAGCTCCTAAATCATCTTCATTTTTTAAGTTGATCTCGTGCTTTTTTACAATTTTATTTGCCGAGCAAGCATCTGAAAGGAGGTCTAGTATTTTATACCTATTTTTTACTGTAGTAGTGGCTCCATATTAACGAAAAGAAGTTGACCTACTCGTTTTTTACGTAATTAACATTATATTATATCAATTTATTTGGCATTTGAAGTAGTAGAGGTATTTGTTTTTAATTTAAAGGAAGGCGCAGCTTTGTATGCTAATAAACTGGTCCCAGTGAGCTTCGCTCTACTGGCTCTACCGTCACGAATCCAGGCGGAATTAGATATTGTATTTTTTAATTACCTGCTACATCGATATTGTCTTCTTTCAAATGTCTCTTTAAAACACTTCTAGTTGGTGGAATAGGACAACTATCTTCGTTCTCAATATCTACTTTCTTCTTTTTGCCAAGCACTGGCAGTTTCTTACGAGATTTGAATGGCAGTCTGGCTTGAAGTACTGACATCTGAAAAGATGTATTTTAGGTAAGTATGTAATGACGTAACCTACTTCCGGTTTATCATTGTCAAGATTATCATTTTCATTATAAATAGGTACATAACTTACCTACATACCCAGTAGATTAACAGATTTGCCTAGCTTAAGTTTGGTGCAACTGATGAATTTGCCTATAGGCAACGGTAAGGCAAAATTACTTTTTTAAGAATTTTTTTTCAAAATTTTCGTAAACATAGTACCATAGTACCTAAGTAATAATTAATTACTTGAACTCGTATTTAGACCTAAGTCCAAAAGATTCACATGTCAACAATGTAAAATACCTACTATAAGTATGTGAAAATATTTAAAATAATACGATATTATAGTATTGAATAATTTTATTTAAAAATTACACTCCCGTTATAAGTCTAAGTTACTCGAAACTTATAATGACTTAAGATTAAACAATGTGTTAGTTATTTAACTTACAACAATATTATTTAATAATATTTTATTTTCACAATTCATCATTAAATTTCAATATTTTCAATATTCTATAAATAAAACTTACTTTGCAATATTAAAATCACGAAGCACAAATTATTTTTTAAAAAAGAAGATAATACGTACAAAGCATTATACATTAAGATACATCATAAAGCGATCTAAAATCAGTAACATAATTTGAAATAACCAATAAAATAAATATAACATACTTGAATTACCTACACGATGTTGCATAGGTACTCAAAACCAGCTAAGTAAATAGCTAAACCAAAATCTAATTACAATGTCCTAAACTTGCATTTTTCTGGAAAAACAGCAAATATATTCGGGCCAGAAATAAAGTTAGTTTCCGAATTTACAGTTCTAACTAAACTTCAAACAAGATTTCTGTACTTGTAATTATTGAAACAGCTAAATAATTGTGTCCCTGAACAATTGTATGAAAATAGATAAGTAGTAGGTACCTACATATTAATTTGTAGAATTCACGTTACAAAAATATTGCCGCCGCGTTCAAAATGATAGAGATTTATTACATAAAAACTCAAAAAATTGACCTCATTTTTCTAATCTCAATTAATAGAGGATTTTTGTTGACTGGATTGTATGGCATATAAAAATTATGTTAAGTATTGTGGTTCTATTATTTAAATTCAATGATTCTAATTGAGATAAGCTAATTTCGTAAGATTTTTTCTGTTAGCTCGTGGGTCTTAGCAGTCGCCCGACAAGCAAAATGTTGTTGTAGTAACAACACCTAAGGCATTGTTAGCTGTTTGACTGGTCGATACTTGTTTTCGTGAAAATATTTTGAATTAAAAATATATGAATAATACTATAGCATTCATCCTGGAATCTGGATATTCCGTAATCAAGGAAGCTTGTTTACAAGTTTTTTCTTAGTAATTACTAAAAATTACATGAGAATAGGCATTTATTTTGAAAACTGAATACTTTTCACTTATAAAGGTTCTTATTTCGTGTATTAATTATTACATTTCAATAAAGATAATACTTATTAATTGCATATTTAAGTCGTCGTATTACCTTGCAAAGTGGGAGGAGCTTATTTTTCTTTGTTGTTAAAATCATTTTTTGTTTGCTGAGCCATATACATCGATTTCATTAACTCGAATTGTCTTTTGACTATCCAATCATCCATTTGATGTCTCAGTATTGGATTGTGTGTAGATATTAATTGGGGTCTCAAATAATCAGCAGATGTATTTATTGTGGGAGTCAAAGTCATTGGAGGACGGATTCCGGAAACTTTAACTGAAGGTGTTAAGGGTTTTATTGGCTTAAGACCAGATTTAGATGGCCCTGCTTGTGGTTTAGGAGATTCATTTTTAGATGAACTCAAAGAAGGCATAGATGGGTTCATAGGCATAGTTTGGTTGGCAATAGGTTCTAGTGAACTTGTTGCTTGTTTTTCCTCTGCAATAACTAACTTCGGAGATGAACTAGGGGAGCGAGTTTGTCTTGGCGAAGGCTGTGTTGTATTTGGCGTATTAAGTATGCCGACGGAATAATTCGTTGAAGATACAACTGTACTATTATTACCTGTTGTCTTTATAGGATTGGTTTTGCCAATTTCCTGTCTTGTAATATTAGCGTGGGGAGAATTAGTTTTATCAACTTTAATTTGGTTATTATTAGCAGTTGGAACTCGAATAGGGGTCACAGTGGACGCCAAAGGTCTATTTGGCATAGAAGAAAATACATTGCTTTGAGCCATTGAAGTTAAAGGCAAGCCTTTTGATGGCAAATTTTGCTTTTTAGCCAGATTTGCTATAGATTGCATTGTTTCCAAAGCTTTATCAAATGTTTGTTGTGGTGCAACTGGAGTTTGAGAAGTATGTGGAGTTGACAAATCTAAAGCAGAACTGGGTTTAGGTTCAGTAGATACACTAGCAGTGCTAGGTTTATTGTTAAGGTTTACAGATTTACTGACAACATTGAACACTTTTGGTGCAGGGACCAGTTTAGGAACTTGAGGTTTAGTTTTAGGCAATTTAGGTTTTTTATCAGTTTGCAGAGATTGCAATTGTTGCTCAAAAGTTTGTTGAAACGTAATTGGAGCTGAAAAGTTTCCAGATTGCTTACCTAATTTAGTGTCGGCAATAGGTTTTAAGTTAGGAATTGGGCCTTTGGCGGAAGTTTCAGATTTATTAACGGGTTTTGGTTGCATAGTATTGTTATCTGGTTTGCTGGTTATACTAACAGCAGCACTATCAACTTTATTAGTTTTTTTAGGATCTGTATCTGGTAATTTTAATATTTCAATGTAGTTATGAACTGGTGGACTTGGTACTTTATGTGTAGAAGCACTAAGTGCACCTGCTAAATTCTTATTGACAAGATTCTTTTTATGGTCAGTAGATATTAATTCATTAGGGTTACGAGGATCTAATTTTTGATCAGTTAAAGTAATTGATAATGATGACGGAATGTTAATATTGCATGAATCAAATATGGATTTTAAAGGATCTCCAGAATTAGGAGTACCACTTGAGCCACCTAATGATGTTTTTACTTGTGATAAGATTTTACTCCTATCTATTGTTGGATCACTGTTATTAGCCAGAAGATCCATTCTTAATTTATTTACAGGTTGTCCCTTAATTTGCGAAGATTGTGTTACCAATGAACTTGGCTTTAAATCTGGAATTTTTTTTACAGGCATTTTTTGTATGTCTGTTTTAAGTGTTTGAGAAGTTTGAGTTTCTATTTTTGAAACTTGTAGTTTCAAAGGGGAGACTGTTTTTTGTACACTGGTAAGCTGATGTGTGATTGGTTGAGTGTCAGTAGTGGCAGGTTTTCGTTTAGGAGAAGAAATGTTGTTTTGAGATACAGGTACTGTTCGCTTAATGCCTGTAGTATCTGGCATTGTCATTGGTTTCACCAAGGAAGTCAGTTGCGGCTTATTATCTTTGGGCACTGTTGAAGAGAACGTCGCTGCAATGCTTGATGGTAATGATATATTTTTTGTTGTACTTTCAGTTTCATTTCCTTTGTGTGAGAAGTCTGAGGTTTTTACATTCTGAAGTGTATTTTGAACAGAACTATTATTCACATTGTTGATAGTAGAAACAGTTGATTTAGTTTTATCCAGTTCAAGTTTAAATTTTTTGAATTCCGGCGTATTTGAAGATGTTTGATGTTTTCTTTTTAATGATTCTTCAACCCTAGGAGAAACTATTGGAGCTTTTGATGCTGTTTCAGTAGAACTATTATTCTCAGTGTTATCTGATTTTGAAGGAGATGATTTTACAGGCAAACAATTATTCTTGGCAGTCAATTCAAATGAATTTAAAAATTGAGACTTTTCAACATCTTCATCGCATTTCTTGGGAGATGCATTAGCAATTTTGCTAGTGTGAACATCATCTTTCACAGAATCTTTATTTGTTGGAACACTTTTGTCACCCTTTTTTAACACCTCATTAACACGTTTAGTAGTCTCGTCAGGCATTGGGCTTTCAGCTCCTGATGAACCTTCAGACCCTTGATCATTCAAGTTTGGCACTGGGCTACAGACATTTGTGTCTTCTGTAGATGTTGGACTTGACTTTCGGTCACCGAAATGTGAACCTTTTCTATTTATATCAAAAATTCTATTCCTTATGGCTATGTAATCAATAATTTGATAGAAAAATCGCATTGGTTCATTCCTTTTCCAATTATATATATAAGCAATATCCATTAATGTGTAGTAATCAGGCAATGGTACCCTTTTATAAAGTATATCAATAGCAAATTGTGTACTATCTATATCAAATTTCATACTAAGAAATTTCTTTAGGTGGCTTATATTTACAACTGCTGGGCATTGGAGGAATCTTCTAGCAACACCTAATGCAGGCTGTGGTTCATTACTGTCAGATGATTTACTGGATATACTATCAGTATCAGTTAAATCTGCATACTCCAAAGAAAATGAAATCACATCTTCAGGACTGAAGATAATTCTCTCTGTGTCTTCACCTCTTTGTTCAGGAGTGGCTGAAGCTGCAGGACCCGGTCTTGAGGAATAGAATTGCTGTCGCCGTTCCATTTCTTTTTGAAAAAGGCCTGGAACTAGTTTGTATACTATGTCTTGGAGTGCCTTATCAAGTTTTATATTGGGTTTAGCAGAGTTAATCATCATTTCGCATACAGGACAGTAGCTTTTGGCTTGTAAATGTTTTATGATACAACTCCGACAAAACGAATGCAAACATTCCACAATCGTGGTAGCATCGATGTAATATCCACGACATAATGGGCACGTTATGTGTTCGTTGACTTCTCCAAGTAAAGTTCTTTGTGGCACAACAGCAACACTATTTTGTCCAGCCATTTTCACAAACTTCTTCTCGGGTAATTTATTTGAGGTAACCATTTTTACAACACTCAAAGCGTCACTAAATTATCAAGTTCCACACGAATGTCAACATATTTAGAATAATTTAAAAACTACACTTGTGAGTTACACACAATTAGTATAAAGAAACATCAATAGCCTTGATGAGCATAATTATAACGAAAAATCAATAGTAAACGTCGTCAAATCACAATTTTTACACCACGATACGTCGCCATTCGATGCAAGCAATTTTTTTGTATGTTGGTAACATTGCCAAACAGCTGCTCAAACGAGTACTGTATAATCATTGAATGGGAAAATTCTAAATTGACAAAAGGAAATTTACATCACTTACATTGTTAATATGCTTTCCAAATTTCTGTCTTCACTTTCGGTAAAAGTTTGTCCGCAGTAGATGTGTTTAAATCTATTACAAACCGTATCTTCTTTACTACGATTTTTGGCGCGAATACTATGAAGGCAGCTGACTGCTGTAAAGCCGCTGTCACTATGACAGTTTTAATTTTTTAGTGTATTTTTTTTTACATTCGACTGACATAGATCTCAGTTCTGCTATATTGAGCATCATCGAGAAGATCACTTTATAAAAGAGACGGTATAAATGAATCAACGTATAAAATCACCTTGTTAGCGAGAGAATAATCTAATTTATTTTAATTATGAAACAAAATGGTGAAACCATATTATTTTTTCTAGTTATACAGGGTGTCCCAAAAACAATGGATAACCCTNACTAGTTTGTTGAACTTTAATCTTTTCTTTTGATAGCCCAACTATCCCTTGTGATAAGGAAAAAAACTAGATTGAAAAGTATCCTCATTTGTAGAAATGGCATGAGAAAAAGTAATCGCAGGTGGCAATTTTCTAAAAATGAACAAAAACTTAAAAATCTTGAAAACGGTGATATTTTTACTGGGGTCAAAATTGGACGTTAGGGAGACCATGGCGAGGCCTATCGATGGTTACAGGGTTATCCATTGTTTTTGGGACACCCTGTATATCTTCAACAGTGCCCCGATTCACTTCACTTCACGCGCAAACAAAGACGAAACAACGGATTTAATCACTTTCCAATAAAAGTCCTGTTGTAATTATCTAGCGCAACTGGGGCCCTGGATTATATTAATCTTCAAAAAGTTTTTATTTTAATATAATTTAATATTGCGACAAACTATTTTATGCCTGTGCTGTCTAACATTGTAGATTGAGTAATTTTTTACTTATAATCGATTCCCAATTGAATAGTAGTGATGTTTATCGAGTGGCATCCGTGAGCTGTAAATCGTGATATCATTCATTCAATCATTCAAAGATTGAAAAGATTCAAGCCGTCACTCACTCAATACATTTGTCTTTCTTTCGGGTTTCGTGGACTGTGTGCGCTAGGCGCATTTTGTATCTTGAAATATCTATAAAATCCTCCAAGGAACGAGTTGTTTCTGAAAAGATTATTTAGTCTTTTGTAACTAAGAACATGAGAGCTAAGGTATTTACAATATTTCATCCAATATCAAAATTTATTTGTGATTTTTGTGTCTTGGTGACTGTGCTGAGGAAATAATGCGGAGATTAAAATTAAAATGTTTTATTACAGTGGCGTAAAAAGCGCATGCGAAGGCTAAAGCGTAAAAGGAGGAAGATGCGTGCGAGGTCCAAATAAAATGGTAAGTGCATTGTTTGATTTAAGGTTAGAAGTAACATGCGCTCAGACCGGTACCCCTATCGTGGTAAATTGATAAGTCCCTCCCTAGGCACTTACCTACTATGCTTTAATATTATTAGGTTGTTTAGTCAGTGTGACTTTTGTTCGGTATTCTTGGAACTTCTCATTGAGCTCCACATGTTATCAGCGTGCTCTATCAATTCATTTTTTGTCAGTACATAATTTTGGTAAAGGTATCCAGTTATGATGACTGAACTCGTACACATGACACAAATTTTAATGTTACTTTGCTGCACTGTTTGGTTTAGTATTATTTATCTATGAGGTCTTGTATGATCTCGTTTTCGTTGTGGTATTACAGACAATTTGACATGAATCATACTAACGCGATCGCATTCATGTTGTCGTTCCGAATAGTTCCAAATACCTTCTACCTTAATTTTTGGTTGGTTACTATCACATCAGTGCAATCATAATCTTTTCGCATCAGCATCTCATTGTATACCCCACGTGGGTATTAAATCCAAAACCTCGTGTCATTACCCTAATGAAAATGAAGATGTCAATTTGTGACACTATCTATTAGCCAAAATTAAATAACTATAAAAAGATAATTATTAATTACTAGAGGGTCCATATACTAGTCTTAGTGGCATTTGGAAGATTTCATTGTAAAATTCGATTTACAGACAACTTATAATCTATAAAAACAAACACTTGGCCAGTGTTTTCCAACTTTCTTCCAGAAATTGACCCTTTTATTCATTTTGCATAATATTATCTCGGCCATATAGCTGTAGAAATATTAATACAAAAATACAATTAAATTATGCTCAACTAGCTTTCCGCCCGCGGCTTCGCCCGCGTGGAATTTTGTCTGTCACAGAAAAACTTTATCGCGGCGTCCCTGTTTCAAAAACAGGGATATAAACTATCCTATGTCCTTTCTCGGGACTCAAACTATATCTATGCCAAAATCAAAATCGGTTCAGTGGTTTAGGCGTAAAAGTCAGACAGTTACTTTCGCATTTATAATATTAGTATAGATTTGTAGACTAAGGTGACAAACACCCCTCTGAGGCAGTCGTTTTCTCCTCATGAGATAATGAAAAGAATCAGTGGGCAGATCAAAACACCTATATCCACTCTTGCGAGAATATTTTTTCTCACAAGGACTAAATTTAGGTATACAATCATTATCAAAATAAAAATAAATGTAATGGAATACAATTATTTTACTTCATTTTTTTTGTGTGTGAATAGGGAAAATCAGTAATTCTGGTACTATTACTGCTCTAAATTAGAGTAGGTACTAGTATCTAGTCTACTGTATGTTTAAGCAACTAAATTAATTTTTGTTTTTCTTTTCAGGTACATGGGTGGATGTGTAGGGAATACGACCTGCCGAAGCTAATGTATCAAATAAAAACATAAAACCCACTTTGTTTTTTTAACTCTCCTTTTATCCTCGTCATTTTTGTGCCTTTCGCCCATCTGGAGTTGTTTTTTTTTTATAATCCTTGGTCATTTTACACTGCGCCTCTAGTCCCAAACTAAGCAAAGCTTGTACCTACTATGGGTACCTACTAGTGGTACTAGCTAGACCACGGATATAAAAACATACCTACTTAAATATGTTACCTACTTTCTTAGATTAATCTAAGCCTACTTTTATTTGGAAATACATACATATTATACGTGGTATAAAACCCGTTACAGAAATTAAAATTCATCATCAATTAGTTTTCCATACTTTGAAAGTAAAATAGGGTTGAGTTGAGGATAGGGTTGCCAGGCGTCCGGCTTTAGCCGGACATGTTTGGCTTTTTAGGGACTTGTCCGGCCTGTCCGGCTTTTGTTAGGCTTTTTATTTGGTTGCCGCGCCAGGTGAAAATCGAGCCATAAAATCATATGAAGCGCACGCATCAGGATGTTGGTTAGCAACCGATGACGATAGACGATAGTACTCACTCATGAGCTGACACAATTAGACCCCCCCCCCCGTCACATGTCCGGCTTTTAGGGTAAAATGTCCGGCCAAATGAAGCACAAAGTCCGGCTTTTGTGATTTTGGACCTGGCAACCCTAGTTGAGGATTTGATATGGATTCTGTAAGTACACACGACCGCACATCAGCAGGTTACCCATTTTTGTGTTGCAAATTCGTCCCTATTACAACTGCACTAGAACGAACCCACAGTGGTTACGTTGACGTGCCGTCGTCTGTACCTACATAGGATAGGAAGATAGGGTACATTCTGATCAAGTCAACTCCAGTGATTAAAAAACTGATAGGTTCTGCTCTATATCAACTGCCCCAAGTGGTTACGGGTCTTAGCCCAGCACCCCTTGTATCCTGTCTTCTCACTATTTGTGTGCCCATCTATGTTTTAAAAGTAGCTGCAGCAGAAGATTAGAGAGTACTCTTCTTACCTATACAGGGTGTTAGGTAAATGGGTATATGAGCCGACACTAGCCCATGTTAACATGGTCATATAAATGGTATGGTGAAGTCAGAAAATTGATATCTTCATTTTAATTATTTTATTTTTCATACAAATCGGATTTCGTAAATTTAATTTTGTATGAAAATTAAAAAAATTAAAATGATGATATCAAATTTCTGACTTCACCATACCATTTATATGCCCATGTTAACATGGGCTAGTGTCGGCTCATATACCCATTTACCTAACACCCTGTATACCTACAGGCTTAGTAGGCTTGGATTAATAAAATCTAAGCCTACAGGTAATTTTTTAATAAAAGTGAAGGTTTAGGTAGGTATCATGCGTATCATGTTTAAACATTGTTAGGAAGGAACCTGCCTTTCGAGTAAGTAAGGAAAGGACTTACTCCGTAGTTTTTTTTTAGGTCTTAGGTACACATACAACCAGGGCCGTCTTTAACCTACTAGGGGCCCTGCCCTGATATTATTCTGTAGCTCGGACTTCGCCTGGCGCGGCAACCACATAAAAAACCTGGCAACCCTAGGCCCTTATCATCTGGAAAAAGGTCTTATTAGCAGATGGGGGCCCCCTCGGTCGCGGGGCCCTGGGCACGTGCCCAAAGTGCCCAGGGCATACAATGGCTGGATGGTTAATGTGTAAAAAGGTAATGTCTTCATGAGGAGGTTGCTCTTCCTGCCCCACAGAGGCAGAACTTGGAAATGAATGACCGATGATAATGTCAACTCAGTAGCTATATTTATAGCGCCTAAATAATAAATCACCCTTTGCGAATTTTGTAGAAAAATATACAGTCTGGCAGGCAAGCGCCTTAAACAAGTATCATAGCAATAATGTAAAGTAATTATAAATTACTATCCTAGTTCTGTAGGCACTTAGATTAATAAAGCTTGTAGGCACTAAAAGGAGAAAAATTGGAAACACATTTGACATTTTCCGTTAAAGTTAATCCTTTTTGTTACTATTTTGTGAAGTCTGTGCACTGTTCGAATTATGAAAAAGAATTAGACAATTTCAGTCACGACTCCCGGATCCATGTAAATTTTGCTTCTAATCCCTACAAAAAAATTATAGCTTTGTTTCAATTATTTACAGTTTAAATAGACAAGTGAAGTTTTGTTACAGGCATGGGAAGGATGGGTGGAATAAAATGGGAGAAGGCGAGTTCTTGTAGACCAGTTCATAATATAATCTCATCAGATTTCCCCAAGTACAACCCTCAACCTTGGAAGTTTATGGTAAAGTGTTAATCTTGTCGCTACAATCCGCTACATTAATTTAATCATCAACCAATCATGGTGGTTGTTGTGATAAATAATAAAGTATTGTAGGTGTACTTAAGTAAATTAATTTAATCTTGTTTTTTCTTCACTTAGGAGGGAAAGTCTCGAATTGAATGGTTATTATCATATGAATACCACAGGATGTGGTTAGAAGAAAGGGAAGCTTGGAAAAAACGAATGTATCCAGAGAATACTACCGTTAGCGTTGACATAGTTAAAAGTTACGTTCTGACCTTTAAAACAAATCATCAAGCGCCAAAACCGGAGAAGAAGAAGCCATTCAAAATGAAAAAGTAAGAACTTAGAATCGCTTTAACCCGATTATTAATTAAATATTTTTGATGACACGATATGACTCCACTTTATGCTTTATTACAGATTTGAAGGTGTAGGAAGTAAGACCGAAAATAAACGTCCAGCAGGCGACAAGGCAATGGGCTTTGAGAAAGAAAAAAAGAAACAAAAGCCTCCGGAGAAAACGAAATAGCGGGAGTTGTCCATATTGTTATTTCATACTTATTATTATGTACACAAGTTTTTTTATTATTTTACGAAATAAAAGTTTAATAAATTTATTTTAAAATTCATCTAGCTTTTTATTTAAATATGGGCTTAGTGCACGAGTTTGCATTTTGCATCGAGTGTCGTCGTACAGCGTCCCTAGTGGATACTTTCAAGAACATTGCCCAGCCCATAGATAAGAATAAGGCCCAACCCGACTAAACTAACGGCCGACGAAAAATCAACGTAGTGCGCCTACTCTTAAAATCTTCATAGATCCTAAACATAAATGCGAAAGGTTGTATAAATGGCAATGCCAGATTTTGTATGGAAAGTGGCGTCTTTTTTTTTTCGCGCGGCCATCGACTAAACTTTGTTTTTTGATTACAAAAGTAACCAAACTTACTATGGCATGTATACCTCTAAACTCAGTCTGAACTGAGTTACGAGCATTAGAAGTTTGATGATTTTCATACTAGATTTGCTTTTTGTGCGCAAGTTTTGTAAGAAATTGCAACAAAATATTGCGCTATTTTTTTATTGCGCTTATTCTGCTCCATACTGATGTCTGGAGCCTTTAATGGATGGTATTGTTTGTTTACACATACGATGTCAATATTTTGTTGCAATTTCTTACAAAACTTGCGCGCAAAAAGCAAATCTAGTATGTAAATCATCAAACTTCTAACGCTCGTAACTCAGTTCAGACTGAGTTTAGAAGTATACATGTCATAGTAAGTTTGGTTTATTACACTATTTTGTATCCAAAAAACATGGTTTGGTCGATGGCCGCGCGAAAAAAAAAGACGCCAATTTCCGGCATTGTCTTTTGTTTGTTACTCTTTGACGCAAAAACTACTGAACGGATTTCGATGAAGGGAAACTACAGTATTTTTGTTTATAGGATCAGAGGTGGAATTGTGTAAAGCAATCGTTATCATTTGACAGTTCATAACGTACGATTATTCTGTCAAACGCTTTGTTTAACTGACTTTATCGTACGTTATGAACTGTCAAATGATTACGATTTCTTTACACAATTCCACCTCTGAATAACATAATATCTATGGTTTTTAACGATCTGTAACAAGCTAAATTTCATGCACCAGCAGAATGGGAGACCACCTTGTCAACGATTAGCCGGGACGGATTGCATGTGACCACAGATAATATAATATGAATGAAAATTAGCGGGGTTATAAAGTTGCTAAAAATATCGTCCGGAAAGATAAAATGTTACTCATTTACAATCCTGCGAAGATAGAAAAAAAAATATGAATGGTTGTTATGAAATTTATTTTATTTCAAACGGATAAAACTAAAACAGGAATTCTATGGTTGCCACTATAATCTAAATTTAACTTTCCCACAAGGTTTTACATTATTTTTAGTTGTTACTATTATGAATCCGCTATTATAAAAAATGTAGATAACTTGCTACTGCGTACATTGTAGTAAAAATACTTAAACAATAATGCAACATTTGAAGTTGTAAGGCAGTGGTTATCTACTTTTGCAATCAAAATACATCACAAACAGATATTATACACCCCTTCTTTTTAACTAACGAAGACAATATTCATAAGATTAATAATAACCTCCCACAACAAAAAGTAACAATTTTCAAATAGCTAAAAGCAATTGGGTTTCTTGGCATTTTATTAAATATTAACAAAGGTATTATTTGTTTCCGATTAAGGCCATTTTCAACCGACTTCAAAAAAGGAGGAGGTTCTCAATTCGACCCGTATGTTTTTTACTCTAAATAATTCAATAGTTAAAAAATAGTGGTGTATAAGAGCCAAAACAATTCTGAGAAAAGACTTTTTCGGTAATGAATAATATTTATTACCTTTTAGAAATACTTTTACTCTTTTAAAGTCCCTGGTCGGTGCGGTGCGGAGTAAATCGATGATTTAAAATCATTCATACGTTGTGATGATGTGACCGACAGCCGTGTCGTCATCATTAACATTGAATTTTTACTCCGCACTGCAGTGACGCAAGCTGTATATCAGAGGCTTTAGCAACGTAGACTATATTAAGGGACCAACATTCATGAATTCAATTACTTTTATATACAATATGACAACTATACATAATTATGTCTTAAATTTTGAAGAAATATTACAGTAGTATATTTTCAGAAACTGTAGTTTCACTTTAATTATAGGGATGTTGACACCACTTACATTAATTATATTATTAATTGAAAGAAAGAAAAGACTTTTCATAACTATGAAATCATAATAATCATTAACAGATATTTTAAGAACAATTTAAAAATGTTTCAATTGTATAATATATTTTTGGTGTCAATATACCTATTTAATGAATATGATGATGATAATTTACATGTATAAATTGATACAACTTCAGAGTTTTTATCAATAATCACAGCTACTATCAATATAAATTCTGAAATGTATGTCAAGGCTGGGCGAACTTCGGAATACAATTTTGTCAGTACTAATAAGGTCAATACTTTGATATTAGATGGAGAATCACGTGTATTACATAAGTAAGTATTGCACGTACTTTCGTAATCGTACAAAAACGAATCCGAAGTGCTCCCGGCTGTCCCGGCCTAGTGCGGCATAAGTTAGAAGGTTCATTAACGGTTGGTTTTAATTCAACCACATTAAACAAAAACTAGTGAACATTCTCCAATATTATGACTGAGGAGCGCTACTTTCGTAGTTTATATTTTATTTATACATTTATTGAATTTTCATTAGCTTCAAAATATTTTATGAACACTATATTAACATTGTTAGCTGAAGAATGTAATAATAACATTATTTTAAAAAGGTTAAGAACACGAAAAAGTATTCACATGCTATTATTAAGGAAATAACGAAAATTAAATTTACTTAACCAAATCAGTCCATATTATTAATTAATCGCTACATATGTTTGTATGCATTATTATTTGAATCATTTATTCTACAATAAGTAAGGCGGTCTTACCTAATGACCATATCTTGTGTAGGTACCTATAGCCCAATAGAACAACCATCCACACCATAAAGTTTCTTAAATCGATGGTCACATATTATTTAAAATTCGGAAAAGGGAGGGGCCAAGAGTTGCACACACCATTCTATTCTGCTCTGGAGAGTATTATTACTGCCAACTATATCCATCTTGTTATTATTATAATATAAGTATTTTAGTGTGGAATGACAGAAAATTAATTGGGAGCTAATTTTTATCCTATACCATAAACTGTTTTTTACGTTACCTAAAAAATAACTTGCCAATTAACAAATGGTTCTGTTTGTGACTAAATTAACCAAACTGGAAACTAAAAGTGGAACCAGGGAATCCACTATCCGAATGAAAACCGTAATGCTGTCCGCCACCACGATTGAAGAATGTTTGGAATACAACGTTGGGGTCGATATCTGAAACAAAATTATAATTAAGTATTCTTCTTGGTATTTTATAGTCTGAAGTACTAATTTATTTTATGCTATATGCAACAGATTTACCTAGGATGTTGCCTTGTAGATTAACTAGGAAGAGGCTGTAGACATTTGCATAATGTAGTCTTTCGTTTTACTCATGTAAAACGACATAAATTATTATGGGGCTTTTAATTTAAACTTTGTAATTATCTATAATGTCTAAAAGTACAGATATTGGCATTTGTAAAAAAGGTCTTCAACATGGAGTGTTGGAAATGAAACCCTCTATTTACTAACTGCATGCAGGTTTTAAGTTAACCCATTTTACATCACCCAGCAAAAAATCTGGCTGTCAATGCTGCCAATCAATACAATGCCAGAACGCAGTAATTTGGTAAAAAATGTGCTTACTTCCTTTAAGTATTTTATTTTTATATACTTTCTACAAACATGCCCTCTGTACAGAAAACAGAAAGAAAATGTAAAAATAAAAATATGTTTTTAGTAACAAATTTTATTATGTAGTTCTTGTTTATTCTACTAACTTGTAAATAATCATCATAATCTAGTGAATAGCCACCTTTGAAAAGCGCGATCTCACATTTAACAAAATAAAAATTTCAAGTAGTTTCAACATTATAATCAACATTATACCTATTCAATGTTAGGGTGGAATGATAATAGTTTTAAAGAGATTTTGACTTAGTAATATTTTATAAGCTGTGTTTCCTTTTTCGTGAAGTTTTGCTAGAGCCTCCAGAGTGGTGCGATTGACCTGCCTGGGTTCTTGTTCCAGTTTTGAATCTGGTGTTTCTTGACGCTGAAAGCGGATATTGGTTTGTTCAAAATTATAATTAATATTTTCACATTGAAGTAAATAATTTCTTTAAACGTAACAACAAAATGTTGGATTAGTTTTACCTGCAACTTCAATTTCACTGTGTGAAAACATACGAGATTATTCAGTTCAGTTCAGTACGTTCTGCCATTGTATCATAAACTAACTGGGGTTGAGGTTGAGCTACAAATACCCATCATAGATATCGATGGGAGCTCAACTGGTTAACTACAGTTGGTACGGCCACCTCACCTATCTATGATGGATATCAACAAACACAGAGAAGCCTTTAGTCCTAGCCGTAAGCCGTACGCCTCATCAAAGCTTCACTTCGCATCAAGGAGTGAAGCGGCGCTACTCGTCAACCGATGCCGGGCCGGGAGCGCTGTAAGGAGTAGTTACCCGGCATGCCCGCGCCGTCGTCGTCCAGGTCGTGCCCGTGGTCGTATCGCGCGCGCTTCTTGGGGTCGCTGAGCACCCCGTAGGCTTCGCCAACCTCCTTGAAGCGGCGCTCCTGCTCACGCCGCTCGTTGTCAGACGCGCCCGCGTGTCTGTCCGGGTGATGCACTAATGCGCGCTTCCTGAAATACATAATAAATTATTACAGAGGCTGGTTATACTTAATTACACTGTAATTCGCCCTTGTTACCGTAGATGACAACATAAGCAAAGACAACACAAAATCAAGTGTACAAGATGGATCAATAACCAAGATTTCGTATTACATATTATTGTGATGATCAATGTCCCGGGATTGAAATAAAAGAAAATTTAAATTATTAACAACTATGAAATCATACCTGTAAGCTTTTTTGATGTCATCCTCAGATGCAGTTTTTTCAATGCCAAGAATCTTGTAATAATCCTTGCGTTTAGACTTCTTATGGGCAAGTTTGGCCTCGTGTAGGAGTTGTTTGTTCTCTTTGCTTTTGTCAATCTTGTACAGTTTCTCGTAGTCTTTCACAGCCTCCTCATACTCGCCGAGTTCTGTGTAGCACTTGGCGCGTCTGAGGAGAGCCTTGACGTAATTTTCGTCCAGCTCGAGGGCAGCAGTGCAGGCCTCCGCAGCCTCCTTGATTTGGTTCAGTTTGGCGCATACGGTTGCTTTGTTGAAATACAACTTGGCATTTACAGTCTTGTTATTCTTATCTACAGTCAACGCTTCATTGTAGAGAGTCAAAGCTTGTTGCCATCTACCCATTTTAAATGCTTCGTTTCCTGTGAATTAATTAGGAATAATAAGTAAATTGTGCTAACTATTTCATCAATTATTACCTAGCGCGAAACTTGGTTGGCGAAGGTTTACGGTCTTCCTTACGCATAATTTTTTAATGCATATACAGTATAATTTTTTAATGCATTCCATACAAGTAAATGAAGCATTTTATGACTCTAGAGTGGTAACGCTCAATTCAAACTTAAAACAATTGCTCCCTGTTAGTCTGGTGTTTAATTACGAGGCCAGATGGCCAAAAAAATTTTAATTAAGTTATGTACTACCAACCTTCAGCAAATCATAAAAGGCGTAATATTTACTAGTATGCCGATAATGCGGCGCCAAACATTCTAGATATTACGGATAAATCTATAAAAACTAGAGTTGCCGCGAATAGTGGTTATAGCGAATAGTCGAATACCGATTAATCGCCATTCACTTTGGCGAATAGTCGAATAACTCGACATTACTATTCGACATAAAAACATTAAAATTATTTCTAATTTCTTCTAAGGTTGTGAGAAAAGAAAACAATAAAGTTAATTAAATCTGTTTCATGTTATACCTACAATGTATGTCATACCTACATACTCGTATAATATGTAGTAAATTTTGGGCATGTTTTGAATAATCAACCTACTGAAGAGCACCCCTAGAATGCCACTGCTGAAGAAATCGCCCACTACATCGCATTAGCAAAGGCTGACAGAAAAATAAACCCATATGAATGGTGGACTTTGAGTACCAATAAGAATAGATTTCCTATATTAAGTAAACTTGCTAAACGATACTTAATCACACCAGCAAGCTCTGTTTATTCAGACATACTATTATTTTCCGAGGCAGGTTTAATTTACGAGGAAAAACGAAACCGACTTGCTCCCGAACGTGCAGAAAAAAATGGTTTTTTGCACCACAATCTGCCTCTGTTGGGTTTTAAATATTAATTAAAAAGCCTAACTAATTTAATTTCATGAATATGATAGGCACAGGTACATATTACAAATAATAATTGATATTGTGTATTGTTTTATTAGGGAAAATAATAAAAATATGAATATTTTTAACTCATTAGTTTTTTTGTTCACTAAAAGTTTATTTTAGACGACTATTCGCCGAATGCCGAATAATACTAGCTATTATTCGGTATTCGACGAATATCAAAAAAATGTCGAGTAATGCCGAATACCGAATAATAGCGAGTATTCGCGGCAACTGTAATAAAAACATAATTGTAAATTATTACTTTATACAGTAGAATCCGTTTAGTACGACGCTTATAACAACCAAACGCTTTTTTGATTTGGTTGGTTAATTTGTTGAGGAATTGCTTAAAACATTACTTCTTTAGTATGACGTAATATCATCGGTCCCTTGAGCATAGTTATAATCAGGTTCTACTGTAAGTTCTTTAGGATCTACAGTTCCGATATAAAAAATAATACAAAAAGGTACATTACCTTCTTCTTTCTTCTGTTTGAGAAGTTTCGCTCTTTTATATGTTTCCATAGCTTTTTTGTGGTCAGGCGCCAACCGCAACACTTGTTGGAAATGCTTGAAGGCTTGCTCGTCTTTGTCCTATAAAAAACAATTATGAAATATTAATTTCAATCATCTGGTACACTTGATTGGTCTTCACTGCAGTATTTGGTTGACAAAAAACAATGTAACTTCCTATTACACATCTCAGTATCATTTTGTTGTTTAATTTTGCAATCATTTCTACAGCTCCAAAACAAAAATAAAATTATTTTAGTGATAATCACATGTACATACCTCAAAATAAAGGCATAAACCTCGCACATAAATGGCTTCGGCATCCAGACTATCGAAACGTAAAGAGTCATTGGCGATTTCCTGAGCTTCCTGGCAACGCCCAAGCATTGCCAAACATTCGGCTTTTTTGAGCTTGGCCCTGAAACGTAAAAACGTAATTTTATGTAGACATTGAAACGATTATATCAAACAATGGGCAATAATCATCCACAGTGATTTTATGAGTTTTGATCAAAATATAAACACATGTTCGGAGCCACAGTTATGTGTTATGTGCCATAGTATGTGATTACAAAACAATAACAGTATATGTACTTATAATATGATATGACTTGGTATGATAGTAAGAAATCTTTAGATTTGTTTTTATGCTTAAATATACAGGGTGGAATTTAGTAATGCCTCCTGGAGGGAAAGTACTCTTAATACTGTAGATAGAAAATTTTACTGAAAGAAAACATTCATTTATTTTTAAAAAGAAAGAAAACTGCATTCAAAAATTTTCGAAAATTTATTATAAAGAAATGGTCATTCGTTACTTTATTTATTCATTAGCTTTTTTATTTGTGGCCATAAAATTAACTATTTGTACACTATAGTAAGTGTAGACATTTGAAAACATGGAATCCATAACAAAATAAAATAATTTTGCAAAAATTTCTACTAAAATATCTTTCAACGTCATTCAATCAACTTTATCTTATCACAAGTTCGTACTAACTTTGAGCAAGACGGGCTGTAGTCGAGGCAGCGGTCCATGCAGAAGACGACGCGGCGGTAGTCCGCAGCCTCCATGGCGCGCTGGCCTTCGTCGTGCAGGCGCCTCAGAGACTCCAGCGCGCGGCGCTCGCTCGTCGCGCACTCCGCTCCGCCCAGCTCGCTCGCTCGCGCCACCGCCTGCTCCCCACCAGACAAGTCACCTTGGACAAACGGTGTACGTCACTTTGCATTCTCATAACTCAACGCTATAAAGCGTGTTGTACGTTGTACATCACCATAGCTGGGCACCGTTAATCAAATAGTTAACTTCGTTAATCGTTAAACCGTTAATAAAAAAATTAACTTCGTTAAACGTTAAAACGTTACATTTCGCCAGATTTAACGCAAGTTAACGTTAATCGTTAATCCGTTAACACATGATAATAAAACGAAAAAAATAATTTTGTAGGCAAGGTTCAAATAATTTCGAAAGCTTGTATCGCGCATGGAATTTATTCCTCTTTTATGTTTGCGCCACAAGCTTTCGAAATTACATATTTGAAGCTAGGCTTGCATAAGTACAATTATTTTTTTCGTTTTAGTACAACTGCATTTCAGAATAAAAGCTTGTTTTTAAAAAAGTATTATAATTTTATTTTACACTTTTTAGTAGTATCTCAATCTCAGAGCCTTGGTTCAATTACAATACAATTTAGCACCAAAGTGCTCCAAAAAACAAATCCAGCAAACCCAAACTCGATAAGTTTCCACCGTTTCGTTTAGGAATTCCTATGGCCACCTCGTGACTCCATCATCAGGACCCTGGACATCATTTAGTACTAAAGTGCTCGAAAAGACAAATCCAACGAACCCAAATTCGATGCGATGCCGCCGTTTCATTTAGGAGTTCCTATGGCCACCTCATGACTCCATCATCAGTCCAGTTCAATGTTACTTACCATAACATTGCATTGTCATCGTACTTACATAAGTATACCAATCTCAATCGGTTGAGGAAAACTGGTCTTAAATTCAGTTGCAAGAGTTGTCCCACACATACTAACAAGTCTCGTTAGTGATCTGGTTACAAAAACTGTTGATTTGGGTTCTGGAAGTTCTGGAAGCCCGAACGTACTTGTCAGAACGCTTTTCTAGCGTTTTTCAGCGTGCCTGCTGTATCTTTTTGGTAAATAGTAGGTACTGGATTAACTATTAACGGACTTAGGATTATTTAACGGAAGTTAACGAGTCCGTTAACATTTTTTAAAGTTAACTTAAAAGTTAATCCGTTAATAGAAATGTTAACTTCGTTAATTAACGATTAACGAGTTAATGCCCAGCTATGTACATCACTAGACTTGTGAGAACAAAAAATGTATTAATTTTTAGTAATGAAACTTCTCCGTTTTATCTAAAGTTAGCTGGTAGAGAATCCCACATGGCATTAAATTCGCCTTTTGTACTGTATTTTTTTGAGTGTGCAATAAAGATTTTAAAAAAATAAACCTATGAAGTCTCAGATATTTACATGAGCTTTTATTACAGTCTTTGTAGACAAGAGAAAAATGAGTATGAGTGAACTTACATTTAAAGAAACATAGTTACAAAGTATTACCTAGTGCAATACAACATTTTGCAATACGGATGAATCCCTTGGTATATGTCGGGTCCAATGTGACGGCTTTCTGTGCATCCTCCAATGCCTTTTTGTACTGGCCTAACATCATGTAGCAAGCAGATCTGTTGCCGTAGTATGCAGCATTCTCGGGACAAAGTTTAATTGCTTCATCATACATGGTTAGGGCTCCTTTATAATTTTTGAATTTATATAAATGGTTTCCGCTTTCTTTTTTTTCTTCAGCCAGTCTGTAAAAAGAAAAACAATTTAAGATTATGTGTTGAATTATAAAATGATAATTTATTCACCGTATACAAAACTGCAATAGCACAATACTAAAATAACCTGTTGTCATTTTTATGAATTTACTCAACAAAATTATGTTAAGGGTCATTCCATGACAAATGTTACCGAGGGTTAAAAANTGGAATGACCCTTAATTTGATGTTAATATAATTAATAAATAGGCCTTTCATAACAGTTGAATATTATTAAATAGTAAGTAGACACATCTGTTAAAGACAATTTCCAAAATTCTGTTGTTAGGTTGAAGAAAAAAGAACAATTTCAGTAACAAATGGTTAAGAGTGTGTAGTCACTGATATTACTTTCTAATACTTTCTTACAAGTTGCTAGGTGTATTTATATGAATTTCAGGTAAAAAGATAGACCTACTTTTGGACTATCAACCTTAAACAAAGGCAAAGGTACCTAGAAGTAGAAGTAGGTCAAATGTCAACGAATCTATTCGTTACTCTGAAAAATCGACGAGCATTTATAGAAATACCTATACCAACACATTTTAGATAACATATTTTAATCACTGTTGGTTTACCACATTGCCTGGTATTTTCTGAAAATAACAATGTCGATGGAAAAATAGATGGGATTTTTAGGGTCTTTACCTTTCTGGACTTTTTGGAACTAAATCGTCAATAGTGAGATCCAAATCAGCAACATCAGACTCTGCCATCTTGATGATTTTTATAAAACAAGATATTTTTTTAAATTAAATGAAAAACAGAATCCCTTTATTTTGAAGACTGATTCGTAAAAGAACGAACGAAGAAGGACTGATCTAGGAATGAATGAAGTGAATCAAAAATTCTTCGTGGTTATGTTGGCACCATTGAAATGAATGAAAGAATGAACGGTTTAGTATTGATTAAGTTAGGGCTGTGGTTAGGGCGACTAAAATTATTCAATTGATTTTATACAGTTCAATTGATATTACAATTTTTAGATATACAAATTATTTATGCAGCGCAGATGCATACATTAAAGCCTGACCAGGAACATAAAAACCCTGGCACAGAGGCGCTTCAATTGCATTTGATAGTGCAACACTGAGTACAGTCGTACATGTGTTAAATTAATAGGCTAAATTTATGTATCAGGATTCAGGATTACGGGCTAATTTGATATTTTCATAAATTAACGAAAAATATTATTAAAGATAACCTGGTTTAAATAAATTAAATGAAACCATCAATCGAGCTAGTAGGATTTATTTTATTATTCATCAATAATCAAATTCAGAACATGAATATTCAACTGCAATGTCTGCTCATGAACGCTTCAAACTCGGTACTTCTTTCCCAATTCCATAAAATTCAAAACTTAGAAAGTGACAAAAAACTTTAAAATAGGTAGTTGAAACAGACTACAGCTAATTTTCATAGTGGACTGTACCATACGATAAACATGTCAGTCAATTTGACAACCTTTGTCGGAAACATTATTCAATGAAAATATTGTCCGAACCCTTAGTATTTCTCTTCGACAAATACATTAACACATCGTGAACCACTTTTCTTTCACGACTATAAATATTCAACTGCAATGTCTGCTCATGAACGCTTCAAACTCGGTACTTCTTTCCCAATTCCATAAAATTCAAAACTTAGAAAGTGACAAAAAACTTTAAAATAGGTAGTTGAAACAGACTACAGCTAATTTTCATAGTGGACTGTACCATACGATAAACATGTCAGTCAATTTGACAACCTTTGTCGGAAACATTATTCAATGAAAATATTGTCCGAACCCTTAGTATTTCTCTTCGACAAATACATTAACACATCGTGAACCACTTTTCTTTCACGACTATAAAAATATTTTAGCAATTTAATTCACAAAATCAATTGCACACATTTAAAATAAAGTTTGTTTACACTTTGACAACAATAGACTGACATGCAAGGTGACATGTCAATGAAGTTTTCAGTTACTGTTGCCATTAAAAGAAATTAGTACCATTAGTTTTCCGCAACATGGCGAGGGTTTTTATGTTCCTGGTCAGCAGGCTATACATGCAAAAACAATTAAATCAAGTAAAAAATTGACTAAACCTTAAAGTAGTAGGTTTCATTACTTAGTGGCTCGTATTTCAATGTCACAGAATATTTTAATGTCAGAATGAAGCATGTGAAGTGTTTTCTCGCATTTTAACAGCATTGAACACAAAATAAAACAATCGTCAAAACACTCGTTTTGAATAAAAATATTAATTCCCTAAATAGAAAGCGTAGTGTAAATAAACGTTTTATATTTATTACTATATCTTTGGCTGAAAATACATAATCTGCGTACTAAAGTCAAAATGACAACAACTTGACATTCATTTAATTGACATTGATTGACTGTGACATTTACTGATTTACTTGGGCTTGCTTTGCTGATGTCGGGCCTGATTAAATTTACGATAATATAAATAAGGCTTCCAGTTTTAGTGATTCGACCCTGCTTAAAAATGACAAAATAAGTATATATTAAGTTATAAAAAACAAAAATGGAAGATTCTACTGCACCAATTAGCGATAACATCCACAATGATGATATCGAATGGCAACCACTGGCTCTTACCCTTGTGGAATACCCAAAAGGTACCCTAATTCCTGATAAAATAATGTTATCTTTGATTATAATTTTATAAAGGCGATATTCTTTAATTTTAAAAATTAATTTAAGGTGATTGGATTGGAAAATTCTTTGCTTTTATAAGTCTATCCCCATTTGGAATTGGAGCTGGTTTTGTAGCACTCATATTATTTCGGAGAGACCTTCATACTGTAAGTATATATATTTCAGAGGGTATTCCAATATACCTTAGATATTCTACATATAATCTTTTTTTCAGATTGCATTTTTTTGTGGTACACTAATAAATGAAGCGCTAAATATTGTACTTAAACACTCCATATGTGAAGCAAGACCACTAGCAAGAGGGCATTTGTATAATGAGTATGGGATGCCTTCATCTCATGCACAGTTTGTGTGGTTTTTCAGTGTATATGTATTGTATTTTGTTGTAATTAGGTAAGAAGTTTTTTTTATCTACAGTTACCAAATTTAGTTTTGATGCAAATTTTATTTATACATTTCATTTTTTCTTCTTCTTTTTGCAGGTTACACCATATAAATAATAACAGCATCATATCTGCACTATGGAGAGTTATTATTGTAGGTGGTTGTATGATTCTGGCTCTGCTCGTGTGCATAGGAAGAGTATATCTTCACTATCACACTACTCTTCAAGTGTTCGTGGGGGCCCTTGTTGGCTGCCTATTTGCTACTATTTGGTTTGCCCTAGTACACCGAATATTCACGCCATTGTTCCCACAATTAGTATCTTTGTGAGTATAATTAAGAAAGAAAAAAAAATAATTACATGCATTAATACATCTACAATCTTTATTTGACAAAATCACAATATATTATTTTATTTTCTTTGTTGCAGAAAATTTTGTGAAATGTTGATGATCAGAGATACAACATTGATACCAAATGTCTTGTGGTTTGAATACACTACATCCAGACAAGAAGCAAGAACTCGTGGACGCAAGTTGGCAGCTCTGAAACCGACCCAATGACGGTACGCTTGCATCCGCGTCCCCACGGTGGTGCTTAAGCCCCGTACGTGACGTCTGATTGCCACCTCAGTGGTCACACTGCTAGGTGGCATGTTGTTAATGAAGACGGAATTTGTTCCCTCACTATTTCCATAATGACTAAGAATACTTTACTGTAGCCTTTAAGATTGCACATAAAGATTGTATAAAGTTCTCTAGATTTTCATGTCCTGATGTATATATTTATGCAATAATAGACTTGTGAGACATTCTAGTAATTTAGTGTCAATGTTAAAAGTGAATATGAGTAATTTATCAAGCTATAGTATTTAACAACAAGTTGTTTCTGCAGTTACTTGGTTGTGTGTAATTCTACCTTCATTTTAAGAGAAATGTTAATAAATTATTATCATACCATTAAGCCAATGTAAATGATCCAATTTAATATTTTAATTAATTACTATTAATATACCTGGGTGGATCAACTTTTTTTTGTATATGCTTGCAAAATTTTTACGAAAAATAATAGTCACGTTTCCATTGTTTAATTAGATTATTTAGTAACCTTACATATACTTCTTTAATTTTTCAGGATAGGGCACGATCTTTAAGTAAATTTAAGCCAGATATTAGACTAAAAACAGATATAGGTCACATTCTGCGTCCCCTGGGTTACTGATATTTTAATCAAAGAAAACACATGAAATTGTTAATTTAATTACTTTTATTTTAAGAGATGCACAAAACTAATAGTTATCAGTCTTGAAATGCTTAAAAACTATTAAGGGGTTTTCGGAATAATCCGATATCACGTCTCTGGAGTCACTATTTAAAAAATCAATACAGAACTTTGTCATATTTTTAAAACAAATTATCACAGAATCAAAACAAAAAGTAGGAATACTTCTCCTATAAAATAAAAACATTATTAATAAAAACAATTATGCACAAATGCTGGTTATGGCAGTAGTATGCAAAAATCACCACACTAATAAGGGGACAATTGAGTTTGTCAGAAGACAAAAGTGTGACTCAGGAGACACAACTTACAACTACATAAAAAATTGACTCACTAGCATTAACAAAATACAAGTTTAACTTTTATTACGTGTAACAGTCTTAACAATCTTACTTAACAATATTATTACTTAACAATAATAAAAAGATACATTTAACAGAATGTTTAAGTATTAAAATGACTTGAATTATGAGATCACTAGGTACTATATTATCACATTTCAAAAATATCTATAGCTTTACTAAATTCGTAATATGTTTGATCACGTTTAACTTTAGTTGTGGGTTTCTCAAGAATTTGAACAATATCTCTATAATCTATAAAAGATACGTCTGTCTTGTCTAAACGAAAAAGTTGGGCATGTTTGACATTCCTTAGAAATGTCACGAATATATCACCATCGTCATCAAGGTTATTAACAACACAAGCATATTTGAAAATTTTCCCTTTCGTAGCGTGCACGTTGACAATTAAAAAATCTCCACAGGAAATTTGGCAATTTTCTTTGTTAAGTCCGGAAGTAGATGGTTCTTGGTCATCATCAGAAATGTTAGGCGTATTATATACGATATCATAAATTTTTTTGCCACGTGGCATAGCTAGATCTTTTAGTTTCACCTCCTTTAGAGGAGTTTTGGAACATTTTTTGTAGTTACTCAGAGGAGTATCATCATCAGATGAAACAAGGCTTTCAATTAAAATATTTTCTGTTTCAACAGAAACAGGAATTGTGACTGGACGATACGTTTTAGGTTTAAGACAGAAACAAAAGCCTCTGTCACAAAAGCAGCTTAAATTTCTATATTGCAACTCACCTCGAACTGTAGTGAATACTTGGTGAACATGTAAAGTTCCCATTAAAGGTGTAATATTTTTCGGCAATTGATTCTTAATGCTTTCTATTTCTTGTGAAGAAATTAAAAAAAGTTTGATCTTACTCATATCCTTTACTGCTTCATAAAATTGTTCTGCACACACTATGTCTCGTCCAGTCGCGACAATGTTGTCGGCCGCTCTTTTAAGAAAACCACCAATGCCGTCAGCGGGGCCTTTCCCGTGACCTGCTTCAAAAAATGACCACGTCATTGCCGAAAAACCATAATCGAATGTTTTCGTCGAGCTAAGATAAAAGTTCTGCTTCTGCCTATATTGGCTAAAAGGTCCATCGCTGAAAAAATGCACAGTCTTAATAAGTGGAAAATTATTGCGAATATCAGTCAAAACAGGATGCAGATGGGCCCATATGGCAGCGGGTTGATGGTTTGTTGAGGCTGAAACAGTGCAATACGATTCAATATTGCGTTTATTTTTACCAGGCACATAGACCACAACTGTATGCAATGACACCTGCTGCCTTGATCCTCCGAAATGGTGCGCTTGAATTTCTTGATGGTATTTGCACTCATAATTTTCACTGAAATCTACAACAATCACCGCCTCTTCTTCTTGTAAATTACTTATTGCCAATCTAAAACTTTGGAACTGTATTTTCATGTTATATACATGTTTTTTTAATCGTTTGAATTCTTGATTAAATGACAGCATTAACTCCTTAAGTATTCCTTCTTTCTCTTCCTTAATGTTCTTGAATGTTTTCATTTTGTTTCCCTCCTTCTCATATATTTCCTGTTTTCTGCCCCATTCTTGCCATTTTATCGGTTCAGTATCCCGTGTAACGTCATGCTTAACTTCGTTCTTACCACATTTGTCGCATTTTCCATACATGCAATCTTCCTTATTTATATCACAAACTGTGGACGAAATAAGTACGCTCAAGTCATCGGTGTGAATAACTCTCTTTCTTTTTAGTATCTGTGCCTTCAAAGTAGGGTTAACATGCAATTTGCACAGACACATTTCACGACCATCAACTGATGGCTTGATAACGAAAAAAGGCTTGTTTCTAGTGAAGTAATAATATGAACATCTCGTTTCTGGTTTTTCTTGCTTAAATATTTTATACAAATTTTTCATACTATCCAGAAGGAATCTTATCTGTACTTTTGTTTTATTCTTCGTTAGCGTTTCTTTTTTTCCTGCTGTAGCTCTTGATATGTCATCTCTGAGAAAAAAATGATGCAATAGTTTTCGCAATTTTGTTTGTTTTTCCCTGATTTCTTTAGTAGTTCTTACTTGGCCTTGTAATCCCAAGGATTCTTTAATTATTTCTCTTTTTGCCTGCCCTTCCATGTTATCAAAAATATCTTTAAATAGTTGTTTGTCCCGGTTTTTTGTAACATTTTGGTATCTCTCTTTTATAGCATTACTTAGCTTTTTATATTTGATTTCATGCTGTAGTTTTTGCTCTTCCTTAGGTTTTTTATTTTTTTCAGTTCTTTGGGAACGTTTCTTATATTTTTCGCACTTCTTTGTAAGCTTTTCAATTTGCTCTTTAAGTTTTAAGTTTTCTTTGTACAATTTTGACCGATTAGTTTTCACCTTTTTTCTTCCTTTTTCCTTTTTCGTCGAATCGGGGTTTTGCATTAAAATCTGAGGAACTGGCGAAACATGTGGTGTGTGATTTTGTTCTTGTTCTTGTAAGATAGGAGAACTTGGGGGTGTAACTTCTAAAACTCTCTGCAAATTTTTCTTTTTTTGTCTTAGGTTTCTCTTTCTTAATTTCCATATCACTCTAGCATTATACTTTTCTTTGGGTGTTAAATCATTTACAAGTCTCTTTTTTGCGTGATAATGTTCTCTCTTTTTTTTCTTATACTCTTCGTATTTCTCTTTATTTTGTTTTAATTTTTCTTTATATCGTTTTTGTTTTTCAGCTGGAGTTAATGGCGCCATATTTTCTGTAACAAATGATTATTTACTAAGATTTTTTTTAAATGCAAAATAATAACCTTTGGCAATACGAAAAATTTACAAACTATTTTAGAAGCACACAAGAAATCAAAATTAAACCTTAGTAAGATATTGAATGTACTATTACTAGAATAGGGATGATGACTGGGTGATGAAATCGAAATTATATTTAGTCCGTAAGACACAATAAAAAAAAATTGGATACATTTTTTTTTGCATAATCGAATAATTACAGTATTATATTGAGTTGAAAAGTCGCGTGACGTCACTTTTGAGTAAAAAATCTACTCAAGCGTGACGTAATGCGCCATTTCAACTCGATTTAGCACTTTTATTATTTACTAATTATGAAAGAAAATAAAAAATATTATGAGTCTAATATTTTCTAATTATCTGTCTGACGGACAAATAATTGAAATTTTGTCATCTAGCCTATTCACTTAAAGTACTTTATGGAATAGCAAACTTTATGAGTGTAGTTTATAAGACGAATTTCAGAAAATACAGTAAAAATACAATTTGGTAAATATCTCGCTTAAAAATAATGTGTTAATAACAAAAAAAATGCATGATCTCCTGAGTCACTGCAACTGTCTCTTGGGTCACCCAAAAAGTAAGCAAGGGGACAGGTTACCCAGAAGACATTTAACAGATAAATTGTTTTATCTGCACTATTATGTAACAAATCACACAAATGTATACTAACACGACATATTAGACTACATTTAAATAGTAATTTAGTTCAAAATGAGTAAAAAGTGTAAAATACTTACGAAAATACGAAGTCTCCCAGCGGACCGACAATAAAACCACCCGACCTCAATCGAACTCTCGGACGAACTGGCAGAGTGACTAGAGCATCACGGGGTTCACAAACTCAACCACGTGATACTTAAAACACTTCCTGATTGGTCCGATCAGGCGTGGTGCCATTTATCTACATAACTTGCTAAATATGTTGGGTAAGTCGGGAGACAAAAATATCGCTACTCTATCGGGGACACTCAGTAAAAAGGCAAAAAAAGGTTTAAATTATTAAATATCTTAGACTTTTATTGGTTTATTAAAAACTATGGACTTTTAATTCTACTGACGTACTAAAACATTTATAGTGATAATACATTTTTTTCATAACAAGCTTCAAAACTTATGACGAAGTGGCTATGGGGACAGTAAATTTTTGTATGGGAGTCCAAAATTGTCTACTGGGTAACCAGCTCAAAAAATATAGAATTTGTGAAAATGTATTTTATTATTTACGTAATTTAACTGCCAATGATCTTAATTGCTTTTAACAATTTTATATTAACAGAACGTAATTCAGTTTTCATGTAAAATAAAAAAACACTTCAGGGACAGTAAAAAACAAAAAATAGTTTATTCACCCNATTAATATACCTTTTCAAAATTTTAGGTAAAGGCAAGGTAATTCCATATTGTATTGTAGAGACCTACACGTGTATGTATTTCTTTCTCATAATAATTATGAATGTTTTTATACTGTTTTAGTTACAATAAATGTTTTATGTTATTTATATTTTCTTTTTTTTACAGAAAGCAAAATGGCATTCCAAGTACGTTTTAATATCAGCCACTAACACAAAGAGATAAAGATGAAATAGTAAAACATCTAGGTATGCTTACAATTACAGGCCAGCAAATTCAAACGAATATTCGTTTTACATTGCTAGGTTTGTGGTGTGCACAATCTAGAGAAGTCGACAGCACGTCCACACCTACTTGTGTGTTGCAAAATAATAGTCATGACAATCATTTATAATGATGCCACAGTGTTTAACTTGACGTACACAGCTTTCGTCTGTACAATGTGCAGGTATTTTATTTTAGGTACCTATACTTAAATTCTTAAAACAGTACCCTGGCTAGTACCTACTTTTTAAGGAATCCATTATTACTTTGAAAATAAAAACTATATTATTAGGTATTGAATTTATTTCACGAAAGTTTCTTATTCATTATTTTTCGCCACCTTTTTTTTCTATTTATCAAAAGTCTTCTCCCTGAAATTAAAATAATATAAGTAGGTACTATCGTAAAATTGTGGTGAAAATGTAAAGGGTTAATAAATCATGTGCGTTCCCTTCGAGAGGCCACTGTGGAAAACGAAGGTTTCGTATACATAAAGATTTAGCAGGACCTCTAAAACAAATGTAGCCAGAATGATAAATTTGTAGGTGTTGTAAGTTGGACGCTACAACCTTCCGAATGTGGTCCCTCAGACGAACTATGTCAAATACGAAATTACTGAATCTGACCAAATAAGATGATTTTGATGAATGGTAATATTTAGGAGGTAAATCGTAGGGCTACATACGAAAATAAGAGCTCTGGATAGTTACTGCTAATAAAGAAAATCCAATCAAATGATGGGCCCTCAGTTCTCCAGTGCACAAATTTTACTTTAATGCTACAAATTGGAACTTAAGACTAAGTTTCTTTGGTAAGGTTTTAATTTTAGCAGAAGTAGCCACAATGCTACCCTGAGAGTACAGGGTTTATATATTCTACTAGTACAGAATAAAAGCTCTAGTAAAGTGAGCCCTCGGGCCACACGTTTTAGAAAAAAGTTATCATATTTAGAGACAAGGTGGAAGGTGTAATAATATAAAATAATATTATAAAAAACGTAGTCATTTCGTAGTACAAACTTAAGTATCTGTATGGTGTGTAAATATTTCCTTTCTTGTTATAAAAGTGACTCATTTATGTGTGAACAAAATATTCGTATTAGGGTAACCACACATCAGAAAATTAATGGATAAATAGAAAAAGTGTCCCCTACACAACTTATACCACGATTAAAAAAATTCAAGATAAAGTTGTAATGTTAAATACACTTGAAATCAAATAAATCGCACCTCCCGCGACAAGCACAACCATTTAAAAGCCTAGTTCTAAACTTCGTTTCATTATAGGAAAGGTTTTTACCCCAAAAATGTGTCTTTAGAAGGATCCAGAGTCACTTCTTCAAAAAATAAATATATAAACCCTGTACTCTCAGGGTAGCATTGTGACTACTTCTGCTAAAATTAAAACCTTACCAAAGAAACTTAGTCTTAAGTTCCAATTTGTAGCATTAAAGTAAAATTTGTGCACTGAAGAACTGAGGGCCCATCGTCTGATTGGATTTTCTTTATTTGAAGTAACTATCCAGAGCTCTTATTTTCGTATGTAGCCCTACGATTTACCTCCTAAATATTACCATTCATCAAAATCATCTTATTTGGTCAGATTCAGTAATTTCGTATTTGACATAGTTCATCTGAGGGGCCACATTCGGCAGGTTGTAGCGTCCAACTTACAACACCTACAAATTTATCATTCTGGCTACATTTGTTTTAGAGGTCCTGCTAAATCTTTATGTATACGAAACCTTCGTTTTCCACAGTGGCCTCTCGAAGGGAACGCACATAATAAATCGCCTCTACAGAGATGCAGCTAGATTAATCGCAAATAACAATTGATTAATTCATGAATTAGGTACCAACCTGGATGATTTCTGCCACTATTTGTTTTATAACTGTCAATATATCGTCCGAACTTATGTTTGTCCTTTGTATATTTGTTGTGCTGTTCTGTTTCTCGTTTCTTTTTATCCTACTATGGTTACATATTACGACCTCGTTGTCAGCATCATAATCGCTTGAAAGACCTTTTCAAATAAGCTTTTATAGGGTAATCACCACAGATTCCTAGACTCATGCATCTCACAGTCACTTTATCAGTAGGTATACTTAATTATAGGATAAGTAATAATATTAACTTACTGCCACTAAATAAAGCCGATGTCATTGATGTAAATGAATTACTATTTTCTGTAAGACTTTCCAACCATACCTGAAATTAAAAGTTTTTTATTAATTGCGTCGGAATCAACATCACTCTGACCCGATGGCTTATGTATTGTAGGCGCCAGATTATGTACAAGTACCTACTCATTCTGTGCCAATAGGTCTGCTACCTCGATACAAATCCTAGCGAAAGCGACCCACCATTTATAACCTACCCTCTCTGGTCTGCAAGAGATTCAGATCGCTTCGTAGCGATAAGACCGCATGAATTGACGCGGTTACGCGGTTTCGAACTTTTACTTCTTGTCTGTTTCATGAGGCGTATTTAAATCTTTTTATCTCTCCATCAGGTTGGATAATAATATAAGTGGTAGGTACTTAATACGTTAGGAACTCAGTCAGCTCAGATACCTAAATCCATTTATGTACTTATTGCAGCCAGAACAAGTAGTAAGTCCCCTGAACCCCTTATGGTAAGCTAAATATGCTTGTGTTTGTGCTAAGAGTGTGAACGAGTGGGTTTATCAAAAGTAAATAAGTAGTTGAGAGCGGCGCGGCGCGGCGGCGGGGTTCGAACCTGCGTTTCTTAGATCTGGATTCGGGTCGGCCAGTCCAACACCATTCACCATTCGGGTATTCGTTTAGTATAGTCGGCCGTTTGGTGTAGTGGTTCAGAACGGACTACTATGCCGAGAGGTCCCGGGTTCGATTCCCGGCCGGGCAGAAATTGAAATGATGAATTTTAATTTCTGTGACGGGTCTGGGTGTGACTATGTATAATATTTATGTATTTAAAAAAAAAAGTATATAAGTAGTATATCCGTCAAGCTAGCACCCATAACACAAGCATTAAGTTGCTTACTTTGGGGCTAGCTGGCGCTGTGTGAAATTGTCCAAAGATTTATTTATTTATTATTTTATTATTATTATCGCTAATCGCGGAGGATTACGGTTTATCATCATCATCATTTCAGTCATAGGACGTCCACTACTGAACATAGGCCTCCCCCAATGATTTCCACAATGGCCGGTTGGTGGCGGCCTGCATTCAGCAATCCAGGATTACGGTTATCTTCTTATTATTCTTATGATCTTAGGCATTACAGTTGTTTCTCAATCGAAATAGTTCAGAAGTAATTAGGCCTACCTAACATAATTTCTAAATGATGAAGATTAGCAATCAAGTCCTATCTTTACCTTATCTGGTGGTATCAATCGATCTGCCTTTTTCATAAAAGTAAAGTTGGCTTTTTGACCTAGATCTACCAAATGCTTCGTCACTTCTGTGGTTGACATTGCCTTGTTAAGCATCCCTTGTAATGTGTTAGGATCTTTTTCTAGTAAACCAGGGAACATAATAGCCAGCGGTTTCATTTGAGGGCCATCTTCACAATCTACCTGAGATATTTGAATTTTATTAGCAAATGTAATATTTTAGATAAATGTTCTATAAACTGGGCCTTTCGGCCTGCAAATAAAATTTACGAGTTGTAGTACTTCCTCTTCATCAGATACGTTGGTGGACGAGTTAGCAGGGTCGGAACCCGGTGACTGCAAAATGTCTACCCATTCAGAGTCCTTCGCTGCCAATGGACATAACGGTTCTGCTTTATCTTTCTCCAAGGTTCTATTTGTCTGTTTCTGGAAGTAGGTAAGCATTGTTTTACTTGATCGTATCCTTTGTTCGTTTCAGCCAAAAGACACTACTGGACAAAGGCCTCTCCCATGGATTTCCACAACGACCGGGGTCCTCCGCTGCCCGCATCCTCCGGTTCACCAGATCGTCGGCCCTCCCTAGTGGGTGGCCTGTCCAAACTATGTTTTTCAAAACTTGGTCGCCAGTCTAGAACTTTTCAGCCTCATCATCATCATCATCAGTCATCGGTCATCAGCTCTACGAACTACGTGCCCCGCCCACTGCCACTTAAGTTAGGCAATCTGCGAGCTATGTCGCGGACGGTTACTTTCGTTTTCCTGTGGATCTCCTCATTTCTGATTCGATCACGCAGAGAAACTCCGAGCATAGCACTCTCCTAGTAAAACAGTTTTTAAATTAGTCATTTGTTAGTTACTGGGCGATCCGGATTAGTAGTCGATTGTGTTTTCTGTTTTGGACGTTTATAATTTTTATTTACATTATTACTGCTCATTTTTAAAACATACTTTCGTCAATTTTGTTGTGAGTGTGTAGTGAAAATGTAAACAGATCAATGTGACATTGATGATTACCCTGTCAATATTAATATAGATTAAAATATTTCAATAAACATTACAAACCATACTCAATAATAATAAACTAGAAAAAAAAATTATGAGCTTTAAACGCCAAGGCCAAACCACGCAAATCGTGGATAAACGGTTACCTACATTTTACCTACCTGCCCTAATAACTAGCAAGGTATCAACTTTGCTCAAGCGCGTCTAAGTTTTCACGGTATCCAGTCGTGTTTTCTGGTCCTGGGTTATGACCTTTTGGTCAAATAGACTTTTTCGGAGAGTAGGTATAATGAGAAATCTGTGAAATACCGTGCCCAAGTCAGTTAAGTATATTCAGTATTAAAAATGCATAGCAATTAAAAAACCCATAAACATTAATTCATTTATTTAATGCCGTTTATTTAATAAAAACTTCCATAGAAAGAAAAAAGAACAATATTAGAAGTATTTACCCCTCTATGGTTGTGAACAGCAGTAAAGCCTTCAAATTTGCTGCCAAATGCCACCTGGCAGAAGTGCTGCGGCGGGCACACCAATAAATACTGTGGCATCTTTGAAGGCCCTTATGCTGTTCTGAGCATAATATTCTCTGAAGCTGATTCGCTAAGCCTTCACAATAGTTGCCCAAAAATGTCTTTTGGAAAGCAGAATCATTAAATAATACATTTTTGTTTTCTCAAAATACTTCTTTATCATTGCTCTTTCTACCATCATCACAGGTTAGATAATATCAAGTTTTATTGATATAAACTTTTTAGTCATTAGCTATTTAATTGCCCCTTGTTTAGGAATAGTCATCGTCCTCGTCGTCTTCATGTTTGTTTGCTGAAGGTGGAGGGATGTACGGCGGAGCTGCCCCGTCGGCGCCGACCAGCCCTTGCTGCTGCAGAAGTAACCACTGCTGATGTTCTTGTTTAGCTTGCTCTTCACGCGCCTGAAAATAACAATAGTGCTATTGAAATGGTGCGTTAAAACAAACTACATGGGCCCAGTGCTGGACATACACTTTTCCATATACAAACTTTACTTAGGTACTATAGTAATTAGTTAAATTAGACAAAAATCTACCTATTAATCAATTTATTCAAAGTTTAACTCTTTTACTGGTATGGAGTAAAATATTTTTCATTGGTTTTAAACCATAACTCACTAAAGTTCAAAATATGTTGGCATCATTTCTGCCGTCACCAAAGGCTGATGAATGATTTACTGAGTGTAATGATAATAAAACATACTTTTGCAAATAATTCCTGTTGTTGTCGCAAAAGTTCTTCCTCTGGAATTCCCAAGTTTTCCAGCCTAGTACTTTGTCTTCTCCTTTTGGCAGCTACAGCCTTGCAGTCTTTGAGCACAGCTTCTGCTTCTAATGTGTAATCTGTAAATCCTAGTCTGTCCAATGCTGGAATGTGAAAAATAAAACAATTAATTAGGTAAAGGTGATAGGAACTACTTAGCTGTGTGGTAATAAAATTAGACAATACTAATCATGGATATACAAAGTAAATGCGAGGCTGAGAAGATTGTTCCAGTGTGTGTATGAACAATAAAAATTAAGAAGTGGAGCTTAGCAGAGAAACGGTTTTTGTAAATAAATAAACAAACCAATGTTGTCTTACCAGTCAAAACATGTTCAGCATTGATTGTTTTTTTATTGCTTTGATTACAGACTTCATTAGCCTCAGAACTTAGCAAATGAATAAATTCTGTACAGCAATTCAATATCAGTTCTCGTGACTCAAAAGCCACTCGGACTGAGGGCACCAATTCCTTGATCATTTTGTTTATACTTGCTCTAGGGAGTGTCAGTTCGTCTTCTTCAGAAGGAGGAGGGCATAACTCGCGCTCTGGACTTCCCATAGTTTGGATAATATACTTTTCAGATAATATGTTAGTTGTTCAGTTCGTAAGTCTCAAGAGACAGTAGCTATTTTTACTGAGACTGGAGGAAATTATTTATTTCTGAACAAAAGCAAAAAACCAATCAAGAACCAACCAAATCAAAGCTGTCAATCGATATCTTTTTGACATTGACATTTGACACTGACTGAAACGAAATCATTGATGTTTAAACTATGGACCGGGCTTTACTTATATTTGCCTTTCCTGCAAGCAAAACAAAAAAAAAAATACTGTCACTTCCTGCCCGTCAGTCATTTTGACAAATGTCATTACTGGTAAATGAAATGTAAATACATATCGGTAAAATTTGGTGAAACCTTAACTTTCCTAAATAAAGTAACGTGAATCGTATTCAGAATGGTCTTTTATTTTACCAGCAGTGTGGTTTCACCATCTGTAATTTTATTTATGGGTGCAGATAAACACGAAAGTAAGATCATAGTAGGATTAAAAATAGGTTATGAACAAGTGATTTAGTGTACTCATGTGTTTTTTTTTCCACTAACCGAAGTTTTATTTCAGATGAAGATCTCATTAAGTGGGGCTGGCCAGAAGATGTATGGTTCCATGTCGATAAAGTATCTTCCGCCCATGTTTACCTTCGCTTAGCACCTGTAAGTCTGATCGAGTATCAATATTTAGGTCTGAATTGATTGTACAGTTTTACAATTACCTATGTACTTAATTTATATACCAGTATCGATTTATCTAAGCCGGTATCAGAAATGTGAACAAAAACGAAAACTTCTAACATTTGTAGTTTAGCTATTGTATGGTAGATTTTATTTAGAATGTTCACAAGTTTCTGTAGCGAATATTGAAAAATAAGTTTTATTCCATTTTGTCAACAATCTGTTACAATAAAATTGAATGAAATATTATTTATTTTGTTTTACAGGGTCAAACAATTGATGATATACCAAACTCGGTTCTGGATGATGCGTGCCAGTTGGTAAAGGCTAATTCAATTTTGGGTAACAAAATGAATGATATTGACATTGTTTACACCATGTGGTCAAACCTTAAGAAAACCCCCTCAATGGAGGTAAATTTTTCTTATTATTATAAATTGAAGTATAGGTAGCTTAATTAATTTAACTAAAATAATGTCACTAAAACTGGTTTTTGTTTTAGGTTGGACAAGTAGCATTTCACAAAGATAAAGATGTGAGGAAAGTCAGAGTGGCTAAAAGAAATAATGAGATAGTTAATAGACTTAATAAGACTAAAAAGGAAGCATTCCCAGATTTAAGGCAAGAGAGAGAAAATAGAGACAGGGAAGAAAGAGAAGACAAGAAAAAGGTAATGAGAGAGAAGAAAGAAAAAGAAAAGGAAGAAGAGAAAAGAAAGAAAGAAGAAGCAGAGCTTAGAAGTTATTCTACTTTGATGAAATCTGAAAATATGACTACTAATTATGATGGCAATGATTCTGATGATTTTATGTAAAAACCAATCCAATACCTAATATAAAACATTTCTGTTCCCTATTCAGCCTTGTTAATACAATTATGTGATTTAAAACAGCAATATTACCTCTTATACTGTTTTTTTAGGATTATGTATTAGCAAAAAAGTAACTATTTAACTTGCAATTTCATTTATTCCTTATTAATTTGTATTCCAACAGAACTTAATGAATCTATTATCCAAGGGGGAATTTCAGTATCACTGTACAGTTCATTCACAAAGTTATTTACAAATTGAGGAAATGTTCCCTTTTCAATGTTTTGCCTCATAGTTTGCATAAGCCGCATCTGCAATATTGAAAGAGAATTATTAGATTGGTAATGTTTTGTTATAACAATTGAAAGTTATTTTAGTCTAGTATTATGAATAAAACTACCTGAAATGCTAGATTGTGGACAGAAATGAGATGACAGGCTACAGTTTCCACTGTAACAATTGAGTGTAGGTATGCTCTTGTGTAAGTTTTACAAGTGGAGCATGAACAGTCCTTGTCAATTGGATTCAAGTCAGTTTCATACTGTTTTTGCCTCAAGTTCAGCTGTCCTGTGCTTATAAGAGCACACCCAAATCTCTGAAAAGGGAAATTTTGATGACTCATAAATAAGTAACACAGTGTTGTATAGTGTGAAAGTATTCAATATTTACTCACAGCAGTACGAGTAGGGTATACACAGTCAAACATATCCACTCCAAGTGCAACACAAATTACAAGGTCAATGGCCAACCCCACACCCATTAAATAACGTGGTCTTTTGGAGTCTAAAATGCCTGTACTTAGGCTAACCATAGGCCAAAATTGATCTTTTGCTTCGCCACCACTAGGAATAAACAATAAGACTGTAAACTTACTTTTAAAGATTTGTTAAACTTACTATAAAACTATTTGGAATAATAACCTTAATCCTCCAATAGCAAATCCATTCACATTCTTGGACATGTGGTCTCTAGCACTTTTCTCTCTCAGTTCACTATTTAGTAAACCTTGTACAATTGGGAAAATACTTTGCTCAGATGGTCTCTTATGAGCTTTTAAACAACGATCCAACCACCGGCTTGTTCTTTCAGTGGCCTCTTTAATGCGATCATAGTCTTGGAATGTAGTTCTTACCACATCATCCAGTTGCATAATGATGTCTGCACCTGAAAGAAAAAAAAAAGTGTTAAGATTGAAAGGACTTTCCATATAAGCCCTCTAATCAATCCATTATAAGTTGTTATTAAAAGAAAGAAAGAAAGAAAGAAAGACACATTTATTACAATGGACATCACACAAATACAGGCAATTACATAGACATGACAGTGGCACATAATAATGGAAGAAGAAAAAATAAAAACAAGAGTAAACTGAGCAGTGCCACCCATCCACCAACAAGATGCCCACTGCAACGGGACTCCACTCAGCATATGCCGTGGCCCATGGTGACGAAGACCACGGCGCTGGTTTTCAGTGTGCCCCATATTAGCTTTACATACCTATACAATTTTGGATTTCAATGGATTTTTCAGGAGTCAACATTATTTCAGAATTGTCATAGGGTGATCTGAACTTAACTCCTTCTTCAGTTATCTCTGCTAACTTTAGTAGTGACACCATTTGAAATCCTCCTGAATCAGTCAACAGAGCTCTATTCCACGACATGAATTTATGAAGGCCACCAGCTTTTTCCAATATTTCAGTTCCAGGACGATTTCCCAAGTGGTAAGTGTTACCTAATATTATTTCACAATCTAAATTTTCAAGTTGTTCAGGTAAAAGCCCTTTCATAGTACCCTAGAAACATTGTTAAGTAAATATTATTTTCTGACTGCAACAGATTTGATTATAAATTGTGAATTTGTGACATTTGGTCGTACCTGAGTTCCAACTGGCATAAATACTGGAGTCTTAACATTATAGTGTGGTAATTGCATAAGTCCAGCCCGTGCACGCGATGTTTTGCACTCTGCTTGGACATGAAATGTAAGAGCTTTTGATTTGGATCCCATTTTAAAACCACGAATAATCGCGCTTCGTGCAATCTGTAAAGACGGTTAGTGTTTAATAATTAGAATATGATTAGGTTTTTCTTGTTACTAGTAATAATAATTGTTTATTTCAATTGAAGCAATTAAGTGTACCTATTTATATACTTGATTAAAATCGACGAAATCAAAATATTTTGAGTTTATTTGGATTAACCAACAGACGACAACAAGCAAACAAAAACTGACACTGACAGTGAATATTTTTTTTGCGGATTTTTTTCTTTTGAAAAGGAATTAAGCAATACAGCCAAGTCTTCAGCGCCCCGATTGCGCTAATTTGTAATGTCTCCAATTCATTTTGCGTTTCATCTCCAGTTGCCTTCATTTACATTCCAGCTGATATGCAACTAATGCAACTCGATTTCGCGGTAAAGTTCACGCACTAACGAAGACGAAATAGTCGTTAAAGGCGCCATCTGTGCCCCGATTGCGCTAATTTTTAACGTCTCCAATTCAAATGCAAATTCGGTATCGCGGTAAAGTTCACACTTCACACGCAAACAAAATGAAAACGCCAAAAAAGTCCGAACACCTTATTTTTCACTAAAACAGCAAATGTTCGTGAAGGCGTTTGACTTGAGTTTGAGATAAAGTAGCTTTCTTTCAGCTTTTACACAAAGATGCAGTTGCGTTTTGTTTTCGTTTGAACTAGCTGTCAAAGCGAATTTATGATTTTCGTTCGTTATCTAATCGCGTTATTTAGCGCAATCGGGGCTCTGATAAAAACTTACACGTGAAACCCCTTTGAAACCCTACTCTGTACGATATTATACTATCAACGAATAAACAATAGGTAACATTTTTATCTGTGGTTTCTTCTGTCAGTCAAATCATATGTCAAAAAAGAAGTGAGTGAAAAATTGTAAGCGCAGGGTACATTCTAACCTAAAAAGTGGAATAAAATAAAACGAAATAACTTTAGCTCGCTGAAAAAGCGTTATTAAATACTTTTTTCAACAAGTTTAGTGTATTATGTCTTTTCAAGATCAGTCTTCCTTTGGTTTTGCTTAAAATTATGGTAAACAATGCTCGGGCCATGTTTCCGACATTTTAATGTCGCTCCCGATTTTTAGTAAGTTGTTTTTTTTCACTCATTACTTCTTAATTATTCAAAATTATTCTGTATATTTTTTTTATTCATTTTATTTTACTCAATATCAAGATATACGATTTTACATCTTTACCATTTTAGTATCCGTGGCTGATTTCGTTAAACACCACGTGAGTTGACAATTTCGAAACCGCAGGTTCGATTCCAGCTACTTTTTACATTTTTGTTTTTTCTTCTTTGTGAATAGATTATTTTGTTACGGATATAAAAAGAATTTAAATTTATTGAAAGTATTTTATAAAAAACTAAAAACCTTTGATAATCGCTAGTGTAACAATATTTGGTCATATGGCTTAAAAAATTGAATACCTAATGTATATCGTCACCGTCGTGGCAGAATTAAATAACTGACAAAACCAAAGTTGCGAGATATTCACGTTTTTGTGTTTTTTTTCGTTAAAAATGGCGATAACTTTTAAGGGTTAAAATATTTTATTGTCGGTCTTTTGACATTTTATACAGCAAATTTACCTTTATTAATTCAATATTCTTCGATGATGTTACTTTGTGTTATTTTAAATAAAAAAATAAAAATGTAATTATTTAGTTTTGCCACAACCGTATTTTACAAAAAAGTTGCAGTTATTTAGTTTTTGTATGTCACTTATTTAGTTTTACCACAACCAACGTATTACAAAAACAAATATTTCCATTGAATAAGTACACTTGTTTAATTTTGCCACACTTTTATTGACCTAAATGTTGATTTATTCATTTTATTTTATTTATTTTGTCAATGCAATTTTAGTCAAAATATGTAAAATTGTTNTATGTATAGCTCCAATCCTGACTTGTTAACTCAAGTTAGAAACTTGTGAAGTTTTTTAAGATTATTATAAATTAATTTAAGAGAAACCCGTTCGTTACACGTTTGTTGAACAGTGTTTTAAAGTGATGTTTAGTATGAAAATGACATTTTAAAACAGTGTTCAACAACTGTGTAACTTTTTATTAGTAAGGGGGAAAGGATTTAGTTCAGCTATGCAACTTCAGTTTTATATTAATACTTTTGTTACAGAAGGGAAATTTGCAACAAACTAAACTTTCTATTATGTTATTCAATGTTACTATCATTTAAACATGGACACCCAAATTGACCTAAAGCACAAAAGTGCAAGTGGCAAACCAAAATCAAAAAATACTGAAGCAGAAGTTTTTGTGTTGCCACCAAATCTTTTAGAAAAGTTGGGGATTCAACTAGACAAGCTTCAGTCTATAGAAAACTCAACTGAGTCAAATGTTGAGATAGGTATGTATAAGTATATTATTTAATTAATATTTAAATTAACAGTAAAATTAATTTCGATTAGTAAGTTTAACCACACACACACACACACACACACACACACACACACACACACACACACACACTGATGATGATGATGATGATATGCATGGTATTTCCTAGCTGTATAATTTCATAATGTAAATCATTGTAAATGGAGAGCGGGGTTTTCTAACACAAGTATCTACTTATACTTAAAAGAAAACCCCAATCGAAACCCTGTTTTTTCAAACCTGATTCTGAATAAACAATTTTGTATTGTATTTGTATTAGTGAGTAGGTACCTACTGAAGATTGAAACAGTTACTGATTTAAATGTGGCATTCCCTATTTTAATGTACCTATACAGGGTTACCGATTTAAATATGGGAACAAATTCACCCTGCATACAGGGTGACTTTGCATTCTTGCAATCAGTATCCAAATTATTTTTTAAGAGCGACTCAGAATTAGTAACTTAATTGATTTACGAAAAGAAAACTAATCTTTTTTTGTTTTTTTTTTATCCGCTGCGCGTGTTTTGAAAATTGGCACAGGTGGATAAAGAGCTTCGTTCATAGAAAAATTTACACATACAGTTAACTACAAAGCTTAATTAAAAAAAAAAGATTATTAGCAATTTTTATTGCCCAAATTACTAATAGTCCCAAGCCCCTCGTGTTAAGCTAATTAATAAGCTTGTGTTACGAGTGGGCTCACCACAACAGTCGAGCGGCGGTGGGATTCGAACCCGCGTTCCTCGGATCTCGGGTCAGCCACTCCGACCCCGTCACCGTTCGGCTATCGATTAATAGACATAATGGTACGCGAAAATAAGGCTTCACCTTTAAAAATTAAGTTTTTTTACGCTGAAAAAACTACGATTAAAAATAATTAAGATAAAGTTACATTGTTCAGCTTATTAACAAAAATTTGGTACTGATTACAAAATCACCCTGTATGTAGACAAATAAATAATAAATAAATAAAAATAAAAATCATTTATTTTCAGACAAAAGCAGTCCATAGTTAAGTTAATAAGATTAACATTGTTTGTAATTGAATCTTGCAATATTCATTATAATTTTTGATCTAAATAGAAAAATTCAGAGTGAAAGTTTGATAATAAATTAATCTTAATTGATTAATAGTGAACAAGTATGATTTTTTTTTAATTCTACTGAATACAATTTTTTTTTCTTTCAAAGTTAAGTACCTATGTACTTGAGACTTCCTAAGTTTAAAAGTCTTCAAATAATTTTCTAACCATGTAACTTAACACCAGGTGCGATTGTGGTCAAATCCTGCCTTGTTATGCATAAAAATAAAATAAAAATTAATTAGGTTTGTATCCATTTTCATGAAGTCCACACTATACCTACATTTTATTCTGCTAGAAATCAGACATACTATGATGAAATATTGAGTTGTAATGAAGCGCGGACTATGCGCGCGGTTTGCGACAGTTGTTCAGCCGCGCACTTTACCCCCGTGGGCCCGGTATACCTTCTCAATACACATCTCTGTGTTTGCTACCCCGCACTAGCAGTGGTGAAGTGAACGCACATTTATGTATAAATGAAATTGTTTTGTTCCCCAATGTTTCGCTATCGGCGCGCGTTGCAAATACAATCGGTGCATCGGTATAGCTGGGCACTTAATTCACGTAGAAATTTTGTGTTGAGCAAAATAATAAGTCACATTATATTATAATATAATTCTTTTTAGGTGTAGCTGGAAACAAAAGTGGAGGAATAATTGAGAGTTTAGATAAAACTTGTAACTTAAATACTGACAGTACTTGTAAAGAACATCAATCATCAATTTTGGAGACTGCAAGTTTAATGAAAGAATGTGTTTTCCTCAGTCCAACCTTTGTGCCTACAATAGCTAATACGATTGCTGGTGAAGTGGAGATAGCTAAAGGTAGTAATGATAATGGACCAGGGAATATCGAAAGTTCTTCAGTGCCTTTGAGCTTAGAAACAAGTTCTATTGATGAATTGGAATCTGTTAATACAGTTCAAAATAATTTAACAAATAATATTCAAGTAGCAATGTGTAATAATTCGGAATACAGTAAAATACCGATTGTTGGAGAATACATGGCAACTGATAACACATATCTGTCTCATAATGTCAACACAGAATCGGAAGACATTATTGTGATGCCAAAAGAAAACACGCAAAACATGAAAAAGAAAATTAATATTGTACAAGTTGAAGTAATTAAACCAGGAAAGGGAAGTACTGTATTAAAATTTGATGACAATAATGTTCTTACTTCAGTAACAGTTGATACATTAATACCAATATCAAAGGAAATAAGTTCATATCAATTGGATGCATGTGGAAATAACCAAGAAAATAAAATAGGAAACATTTGTATGGAGTTTGAAAACTATGAATCAAATCATAATTACGTCAAGAATAAGGACAATACCGATTTTATACAATTCTCGAGTATCCCAACTTGTAGTTATCAGGATAATGGTTGTGAGGCTACAATATTGCAAAAGAAAGAAAATAATGAAATTGAATGTAAAATAAACAGTTTTGACATTCCCACCTCAACAAAATTTGCTGCAGAAAAAATTGAATGTCCAGAAAGGAAACCAAATGATGGTTTAGACACAGAAATAATTTCAAACACAACTAAAAATAGTCAAGATAACAATTCTCAAGATTGTTCTGTCTTGGAAAAACTTAATTTGTCTCCTAAGGTTGTTGATAATCACCAAGATACCAAAATTATCAACAAAGACGAATATAGTTTTTCCATCGAGAAAAATAATGTCAATAAGCCTTGTATATCCAAAGAAAATCTATACAGTGTTAATCGAAATAATTTTGGTTGTAATAAGGACACATTTAACTCAAAATCTAATATTGTTACTTGTAATAATATTCAAGAAATTATAAATGATTCTGAAAAATCTAAATTATGTACACAAGGAGTAGAAAAACCCGGTGGACAAAATGAACAAGATCTACAACATTTCCAGCTGAATTTAGATAAAGATATAATAAATACACCAAAAGCCGATTATGGAAATGAAAATCAGGCTGCAATTAAAGAACCCGAGGAAAACCAATCCCATGAAACTACACAAGAAACTACACATACTGTGAAAAGTCTGAAAACTTACATAAGAAAAAATAATATAGTCAAACATATACTACAAGTAGATTGTGCAAATAGAACTAATTTAAGTAAAAATATATCTGAAACCCTTGACAGTCAAATTAACGATGTTGCGGTGGATGCTGTCTGCAAGAGTGAAGTATATTGTTTGTGTAGTGATTTTGGCCAGCTAACACATTATGATGAAGACAGTTTTTATGAACATATACACTTTTGGCGACATAAGAATGTTGCATGTGACCATGATGAAATTTTTAGCCTGTATGACGATAGTGAAATCGCCAATACAAGTGGCGACAATGAAATGCCAGTAGAAAATATGAATGATATTCCCGAAGAAAGGTCTCATGCGATTTGCTGGAATGAAATTTATGACAATGACAAAGTATTCGATAAATCTAAAATGGATGATGAAAATCAAAACAGCAGTGATGTAGAAATGGTTGAAGCCAATGATAATTGTCATAATAATAATTATGTTGAGAAGATAATTGAGGTCAGATATGTGTAAAAAAATATTATTAATGTCTAATGAATATTACAATATAACATGTACCATTATGGGAGATATTTTAATGAAATACCTTTTTACAGAGTATGAAGTCTGATTGGAGTTCATCAAATTCTTCTTTTACGCATCAATCACTAGGGGTGAATGAAGAGACAATAAAAGAGGCGCACGAAATTGAGGGTGCAAATAAACCTGAAGATGTTAAAGATAAAGATGAAAATATTAAAACTAGGAAGGTAAACCCTGTTATTTATAATTTCTGTCTGTCTTGGTATTGTGCTTCACATAAGCTTTTTAAGCTGTAGTAAAACACCTTTCGTATTTTATTATTCATCGGTCTGTCTAACTAAATGGTTTTTGTTTGTTTAGATCAATCATACACTTTAATGTATAAGTACTCTTGTTCTTTCATGTAAAATCTTCTAAAAATTTTAATGTCCATCATCTAGTAATCTTAAATTAATGTCTCATTCGAAAATAACGCGCCGAGTTATTGTGATAATGATACTTAATTTCAGCTTTAGTCTCAGCTGCAACCGTTTTAAAAGTAAAAAAAATCAAAATTTCTTTATTTACCTACTTACTTACAAACATTTTTTCTAAAAGTTAAGATTAAAAACAATACATTATTTATTACAGAAACGAAGACGCAGTATGCGTGTCCATAAAGATGAAGATAGCTTTATGGATAATAATGAACCCTCATCGAAAAAGGAGGTGAAGTGTGGTGTTTGTGAACAGGTTTTAGCTAAACGGGAATGGGAAGAACATTCAAGTGAAGAGCATGGATTCATAGCTTGGAAAGCTGGCGACAGTTTCGTAAGTAGCCCAATAATTTATACAGGGTGGTCCATGAGTGTACACTTTTTTAACCAACTAGTCAAATTATCTTTGTCAAAAGTTAATCGTAATATTTAGAGATTTCTTCTTAAGTAATTATAACTTCAAATGTCAATATGTTCTGTTCACAGGACATACAAGACAAAAAAATATTAATGAAAATAAAACAGAAATTGAACGATGACGGTATTCTTCATTGTGGTTTTTGTAAATTTGTTTTCAATAATTGTGATAACTTTATAGCCCATACAAAGAAATGTATGAAAAATAAGGTAAGCAATTAACAAGAAAAAGACAGACTAACTCTAATAATTTTCCCTCTATTAAGCAACTACTAAACTAAGATAAAAAAAAAATTCCAGGTACCGCATAGCTCTCATAGTACGAGTAACACCTTAAATCTCGAAACAATAACTGTGGGGCCAAGGAGCAATAAAATGCCGAATGATTTAGTGAAATGTGGTGTTTGCCAACATGATGTCAAAGGTTCCGACTGGTTGGCACATATTTGCCAGCAACATAATTACATAGCATGGAAAAGTGGAAAAACTCCTTTGGTAAGATGAAATACCCAAGTTATCAAAATTTTAATCATCTGTGATTTTGTATCATTTTTTATAAGTATATCTCAATTTTACCCTTCTATTCCAGAAGGTGGATAATAAGGATAAAATTATAAAACACTTGCGCAAAATTATAGTAAAACATGGTGCATTAGTTTGTCACAAATGTAAAGGTAGTCGCCATTATGGAATAAATTCGATAAAAAAATATTTGAAACACATTAAATTATGTAATGAAGTTAAGGTCAGTTAATAATTTCATTTAGCCACAAATAAAACAAATTCAAATATTTGTACGTATCCTAATATTACCTCTATTTAATTTTTAGGGCAAGTTACCAATTGAAGAAAAAACTGTGATGTGTAGCGATTCCTCTATGAATGTGGATGAAACCATTGACGCTGAAACCACTTTAAGTGCCCCAGTGACAGAGGATGAAGCTAGTAATACACTTGTGAAGTGTGGAGCTTCCCCTAAGGAAGTGGAAATGAACACTAAGAGAACTTCAACAGCTCTAGTAAGACGTAAATCGACAAGGGGCGGTGTTCAGAAGAATGATCAGATGGTGGTTGAAGAAAAATCGACGAAGATTAAAGACTCTTCTAAGAAAAGGTCTGTGGATGCTGAAATTAATATAAACTCCCCAATAACAGAAACCGCTGGCGACACACGTAAAAGATCAAATGTGGGTACTGAAAATGCAACCTCGCCGAGTAAAATTGAACTTATGAAGTGCGGAGATTCTTCTAAGAAAGTGTATACAAATATTAGGAGAACTTCATCTCCTTTAGTAAGGCGTAAATCAACAAGGAGCTGTGACACCTCCAAGAAACAAGATGCTAAAGAGCATGCGCTAGTGGTTCAAGAAAAAGCGGTGAAAATTAGTGACTCGCCTATAAACACCGATCCGGATTCTAAAGCCGGTTCAAGCTACCCTGTGAGAGGAACTGCTGGCGATTCTGGTAAGAAATTGAACATAAACACAGATATCACACGTAAAGATACACTTCTTAAGAGTAGTGATTCTCATGATAAAGTGAACACTATAAACACGTCTACTCCTTTAGCAAGACGGAAATCATTACGGTGTAGTGACACTGCTGAGAACGACGATCACACACGAGTGGTTAAAGAAAAGCATAGTGAATCATCTAATAATGAAAACAAAAATGAAAAAGTTGATAACTGTAAATTCAATACTAATACTGCACATTCTTCAACTCCCCTAGTCAAAGAAACTCAAAATAAAGATATTAAAAATAAGAGATCTGCAATCTCTCCGGAAAATATGGATATTGATAAATCATTAACCCCTAAAACAAAAGAAAATACTGGGAAATGCAGTGACGCTACTAATAAAGTAAGTCTAGGCACTGAAAACAATTTAACTGCTTTAACCAATGTGAAATGTGGTATTTGTCAACAAGAAATGGAAGAAGATTTGTGGATTGATCATATACAGAAGGCACATGAATATCTAGCTTGGAAAGAAGGCGAAAATCCTTTGGTATGTTTTAAGTGTTTTTGATTGTCAATCGGTACTTTCATTTTCAATATTATGACCATTAGTGATAAAAAACCTTATCGTTCCAGGATCTAGAAGATAAAGACCAAATCTGGCAGCATTTGCATTTAATTTCCAAGAAAGTTGGTGGACTTGTGTGTGCCAAATGTGGCCTCAGTCGAAAGTACGTCAAAGCGTACCTTAGCCACATAAAGCGATGCGACGGAGTGGTAAGAGAGCCGCTAAAATAAATTAAAACTTATGCTTTAAATAGACCGCAACATATAATTTTCTTTAATTACGGACCTATAGTAGTGGTGCAGTTACTCTGCAGCAAGTTATGTAAAGATGTTATTATTTTCCAGGAAAATTCTTCCGAGGCGAATTCCTTTAATAAAATTGACATTGATGTTACAATACCCTTTGTCAAAGACGAAAACATGAATAGTAACGATTCTTATCAGAAAGTGGATAAAGATACCACTGTAACTGATGAAATCAAAAATGTTATTGTGAAGTGCGGTGTTTGTAAACAAGAAGTGGAAGATATTCTATGGATTAGTCATATACAGACGGCTCATAATTACCTGGCATGGAAAGAAGAAGAGAGTCATGTGGTATGTTTACAAGTTTTTGTAAGAGTCATAACAGGTTCACGACTTTCATGTTTAAAAATATTTTTCATAAGTATTTACATATCTATCTGTTATATGTCATATTATTTATCTGAATTGCAGAATTTTGAAGATGAAACTCAATTATGGCAACATTTGCATTTGATTTCAAAGAAAATTGGTGGGCTTGTTTGTTCCAAATGTGGCCTCAATCGCAAATATGTCAAAGCATATCTTAACCATATCAATCAATGCGATGGAACAGTGGACATGGTAAGCTATGAATTTAAATTATTTCTTAATCTACTTTTCTTAACTTTTCGTGCCTAACGAAAGGTACGATTGATGCAGAATACATTGCATGCCTTATCCATATGTAAATTTTACAGAACACTTCTATCGAAGCGGATTCTTCGATGAATGTAAATACTGAGCACATAGTAGAGAGCAGTGACTCTGCCAAGAGAGTGGCCGAGGATATGGTAACTACTTCAACTTCTGAAACTGAAGAATCTATTGTAAAGTGTGGTGTTTGTAAACAAGATGTGGAAAACAAATCATGGTACAACCATATGCAGACTGAACATAATTACCTGGCATGGAAAGAAGGAGATGATGCTGTGGTAGGTTTACCAGTCTCTCTAAACATTTGTTCAGGTTTTTATAGTGTAGAGCCTTGATAATAATGAATTGATTGAATTAACATTTCAGGATCTAGAAGATAAAGACCAAATCTGGCAGCATTTGAATTTACTTTCAAAGAAAATTGGTGGACTTGTGTGTGCCAAATGTGGCTTCCATCGCAAATATGTTAAGGCTTACCTTAGCCATATAAATCAATGCGAAAAGGTGAGACAAAACAAACGAATACATTTCCAAATCATTATTCTTAAAAATTTATAAAAATAAAAGCCAACCTTATTTTGCTTTCTGCCTTTCCTTCTGAAATACCTGAAACAGAACAGAAATGATATCTACTTATTATATTTTATTCAGACGGACACTTCTATGAACGTGACCATGGATGACCCAAGTTTGGACGTTGCCAACGCATCTTCAGCTCAAGGCATCAATGTTAAGTGCGGTGTTTGTCAACATGAAATGGAAGACAATCTATGGAACGATCATATGCAGAAGGCTCATAATTACCTAGCATGGAAAGAAGGGGAAAATACTTTGGTAAGTCAAAAAGTTATGTACAGTATGCATTTGATACTTATTTCAAAGGTATGAAGTATAAATAAAATGATTACATACATACATTTCAGGATGTTGAAAACAAAGAACAAGTGTGGCAACATTTGAACATTGTTTCAAAGCAATTAGACGGGCTTGTTTGTTCCAAATGTGGGCTTCTCCGCAAATATGTCAAGGCCTACTTTGCCCACATAAACCGATGCGATGGGACGGTAAGTGTGCACTGCGCCTTTTCTTCATACGATGATAAAAATAGAAACAAGTTACGGAAGCAATTTTTGACAGCTGAAATTGCAAACATTATTGGTTTTTTTTTACAAATAAACTTTATTTCAGGCTCCCAATAATGATTCTTTAAATTCGAGTTCAATGGACACGAGTTGTGTATCGGAAGTCAATACGTCGTTTTCGAAAAATGTTACAATGGGCGGCAAAGTAAAATGTGGAGTATGCTCTATAACCTGTGATAACATGAAATGGATAAAGCACATCCAAACAAAACACAATTATTTAGCGTGGAAAAAGGGAGAAGCGATGTTGGTGAGTGTTAGTCATCAAATGCTATTTTGGTTAGATATATAACCCTGGTCTTCCTAATATGAATAAATAAATAAATAAATATACAATCTATAATTAATCTACTTAAATCATACCTCTTTCAGGACTTACAGGACCCGGAAGAAATTGAAAATCATCTGCGTAATATTATTAAAGATCACGGCTCTTTATATTGTCACATTTGTGGCACAGATCGGAAATATTCTGCTAAAGCAATAACTGAATATTTAAAACACATTGAAACCTGCAGCAAAGATATGGTGAGTATAAAGTTACTATACATTATTTTCCAGAAATGACATAGGTATTTAGAGGTTATTTTCAGAAGGTATATTGGTTGTGAATGAAACTTTGATTGAAAATGTTACAGAGTTCAGAAATAGACGAGAAAAAACCAATTAGATCAGTGCTTCCTTCCAAAAATGACGAGTTTAAATGTGGTGTTTGCGAAGAAATCGTTAAAGCCAATGATTGGATAAAACACATACATAAACATAATTATTTTGCCTGGAAACATGGAGAGACTCCTTTGGTAAGTAAAGTGCTACGTTAGTACATGATTAAGTATACATAGTATTATTTACATAATATGTAATAAGATACCACTGATATTGAGTTAACGATACCATTTTAGGAATTTGAGGACACGGAGAACGTAAAGTTACACTATTTGAAACTTTCAAGACAAGTGGAAGGGTTCGTATGCTGCAATTGCGGATTCAGGAAGAAATATCCTAAGCTGTTCATTGACCACATTGCGGCCTGCTCTGAAACCACTGGCGGTCCGGTGTTAACGCCAGTCTCTACAGGTAAATATGGTCTACTGTAGTGTATACTAACTTACTTTTTAAGTAACTATTATGACTGTACAGTACAATGAACTGAACTTATGGGTTACTGGCGAGTGACAGCTCCTTACTCAACAGTACCATCACCCCAATCAGTGCAAATGCTGTAGTCTTATTACAAGGCTCTAACGCTTCTTGTTGGCGCCACTGTTTTAGCCACTAGAAAGTGTCAAGACTAGTTCTCTGCAACAGTAGTAGGCATAGACCTGATGACAATGAGAGCTACCACTCATTGTCTCAAGCGTGTATAGGCGAAAAAACTGCGCTGTTTTATTAACAACGTAAATCATTATTATTTTTTTAGTTGAAGGCGTGGTGGAATGTGCCCGTTGCTCGGAAAAAATGGACCCAAAAAAATGGAGGCGACATTGCATGGACGAACATTATAATTTAGCTTGGAAAGTTGGCGACTTTCCTATCGTAAGTGCTTTTTGAATAATTTTACTTCATATGAACCCGTTTTGGTACTAAACTTATTAAATCTGTATTTTGCACAGAACCTCAAACTACCCTATACCGTTGAAAAGTATTTGAAGGAGTACCAGCAGGCAAAGGGTTCGTTAGTTTGCAAAATTTGTGGTATAAGCAGAGCGTCACCTGTTGGATTCTACGCGCATATTATTGCCTGTGGCAAAAGTGAAGAGGTAAGAAAAAATATATCTGATTTGATATTATTTTAAACGATATCTACCATAGTTTCATTCAAAAATGGAATACTTATACTATTTATAAACTTTTCTTTAAATTCTAGGAGCTAGAAGAGTTTCAAAATGTTTGCGAGATTTGCAATAATAAATATTTGTGCATATACAAAAGTCAACATATGACCAGTCACAGGGAACAAGAATATGCTAAAGAACGTAAAATAAGAAAGCTTGAGAAAATTAAGGAAGAAAATGAAAGAAACTCTACGACGGACTTAGATATGACGGGTGATGATGAATACCCCACGGGCCGACGAAAAGCTGCAGTCAAGTAGGTTACTTTTACATTGCGATTTCAATCTAAAATTCTTAANAATATTACTGGTTAATGGTTGTAACGAGTTGAAAAAGTACTGTTTTTGCGCCAAACGGCGTAAACGCTCTTAACCTTGCTGTCAAAACTCAGATTACATAAAATAAATACCTAGTTATTTATTACATAGAACAAGCATTGATTAGTTTCGAAGCGTATGTAAAATTTCCAAGAATGTTTATTTATTTAATTTATTATTTCAGGGCAAGGGACGTTATTGGGCAATTGAAAGCAGATGACGTAAGTTGGAAAATTATCTTTTTCTTAGATACACCTATTTCGATTTGACACAACATGATGTAGAGTAAAGGCTAGCGTCCACATGTCGGTATCGTACGCATCGGATGTATCGCACGCAACGGATCGTAGTATTATTTATATAGAAACTCATATAAGTGCGTCCACCTGTCCGCATAGTACGCATCGCACAACCGATACGATGTGTTTTGTACGATGCGTCCGTTGCGTACGATACCGACAAGTAGACGCTTAGCTTTATACGTAAAAGTTTTTGGAATATACTCGTTGATTCAATATTTTCAAATGTTTTAGGATAACAATACGTGTGCCCAGTGTGGGTTTGCGGCCAGTACCGCGAAAAAGCTTGCCCGTCACAAGTGCACCGACATCTTTGAAGGTGGCTCTGCTTCAGAAGAGTCGAACGACTCCGATATCGATGCCGAGGTATCAGAGCATGATGATGACGACGAGTGCACAAAAAGGAAACGCCACAAGGAAGCCCGTAAGTTACTTAACTAATGCCCGTTTTCTCCATCAATCCCTAATTTTGAAGTGACCCCTATGGTAACACAAAACAGGAATTTTGGTTTCATAGGGGGCATAACTATTTATTATTCTTATTTATTATTTATTAATATTTTTTACTATATCAATTATTCTCGTTTCAGTTGTGCCAGCGAAAGTACCTAACCTGCCTTTCAAGTACAACAAAGTAAATTCGTTTAGGGATCAAATTGCAGAAGATTTGTAAGTTTATACTTGCACACATGGTAGCATATTGTTGTATTTTTTGGATAATGAATGACTCATTGATAAATTTGAATTTATTTTTAGCTTCAAGATACATTATACAGACGAAATACTTTTTCCCGAATGGCGAAACTGTAATTATGAATACTTGGATGATAGTCGAGTATCAGATTATTTACCGAAAATGGAATCGTCTTGTCAAATCAAATTGAATGATAAATGGGACACGTTTACCAGATTCCAAGTGAAACAATTTTCGAACGGTGTGTACGCAATTAAATCCATATTTTTTCACACATCATTACTCACACGCACTCACTGATATAATTTAGCTACACAAAATAGATACATAATTTATTTATACTTGTTATTCGTAAAATAATTTTGTATTTTTTATTTGTATTTAGGTGGTTTAAGTATATTTGTGGGTGGCACTGTCAGGTGCTTGTCTTGGATTCCCGCGCGAGTGGGCGAGGACAACCAAAGAAATTATTTGGCTGTATCGTGTCACATGGATTCAGATGCCCCTCGATTAAACTTTGACGAGTTGTCGACTCACACAGGAGTTATACAGATTTGGGATTTTGGCACTACGGCCAAGTAAGTTTACAAAAAGTGTTACTTATCATACGGTATTAGATGCCTTTGAGAAAATATTTTCATAGACATAATAGGCAGTTTCCTAAAAAACTTTTAGTTCGTCAATTATGTTATTAAAAAATATTGGACACGTATATTTTTATTTGTCAATCAAACAATTACGATGTTATGGTGCGTTGACGTCACTAAGTGCTATACTTTTAAGTACCCCTTGGCGTCACTAAGTGCTATACTTTTAAGTACTCCTTGACATCACGTGCCTCTTTCGAACTTTGAAGCGCTTTATCTCTTTCAATTTTCATTAGTTGGAATGTTAATACTCGACAAGTGAAAAATACTTGTCGAGTATTTTTTTATAAGTTAACCTACGAACTAATTTAAACTATTGCTTCTTTAGCCAGGAAACATCTCTATTGTTTTAAAACAACTGCTTGAAATTCTATTTCTGTTTCAGAGAAATCCCAAAATTAGTGGTTGGTTTAGCGCATGACCACGGCACAGTGTGGGCAATGGACTGGTGTCCGTCGGGCGCGAGGGACTCCGACGAGAGTGCCGACAACGCCGACATTTCCAGGATTGGCCTCCTTGCTGTGGCTTGTTCTAACGGCCTGGTCTACATATATTCCGTCCCTAATCCTTCGTCAAAAACAGAGCCGTGAGTAAAATTGTCCTATAAATGTACTGTGTGATGCATTTTAGGGCAGTTAGACGATGTTTAATTTTATTATTATTTCAGGGATAAAATGTTATGTACTCTGAAACCCGTTGCGGAACTCAGGATAGCAATGGGTCAAGAAAGGAAGCGTTACCAAGCTACGGCTATTAACTGGTCCAAGGTTAGTAATTTTTTTATGAAAAAAAATACCTATGAACTTTTTAGTGTCCATCAAATCATTTACGTAAGGTTTTTTTTTATTTTAGCAAAAAGATCACGGGATTATTATGGTCGGATATTCGGATGGGACTACAGCGTTATATGATTTGAAAACTACCTCGCCTCTGCTGAAAGCCACTGAAAATGACGTCACCATCTTTTATCCCTACCTCGACAGACGAGATCACAACGTTTGCATAACAGGTTGGTAGATTATAGGTTAACTTTTAGCAGTTTCAAAAATAAACACTCGATTTCAGGTAGACACATTATGAATTCTCGATAAATTTATATTTTTTTTTACAGTTTCGAAACTAGCCACACATACTTTTTTTACAAATTCGCATTTAATATAACCACACAGTTTTGAATTTCAAGTGCTGGCGATTATACACTCAAAAATGTACTTTTAGGGCCCTCGCCCACGGTGACTTCGCTGCTAAAGCGCGTTAGTCGCATTTGCAACGACGCACTACAGAAGTGATGCCAACGCGCTACAGTAGCGCGATTACATTGCTACAAAAAGTCGTCGTGTGCGAGGGCCCTCAAAGTACATTTTTGAGTTTATAATCGCCAGCACTTCAAGTTCAAAACTGTGTGGTTATATTAACTGCGAGTTTGTAAAAAAGTATGTGTGGCAAGTTTCGAAACTGTAAAAATCACACAAAAAAAATCTCGACTTGATAAAAAGGAAGGATAAGTTACAAAACTGATGAAAACCCGTTGTATCGCAGCCGTGGACATATACCCGAGTGCGGACGCTTCGCGCGGCTCGCACGTGGGCGGCGCGTGCAGCGCGTCCATGGCGGCCGTCAGCGCGCGCCTGCGGCCGCCCGCCGCGCGCCTCGAGAGCCGCCACCCCGCCACCGCCGCTGCCTTCCTGCCCGGCTGGCCCGCCGTGCTGTTCGCCGCCGAGGACACCATCGGTGAGGATCGACAGTCACCTTTATTGGCCAATAAAGTCCGGACGCCGAGCACAGCGCCGCCGCCTTCATGCCCCGCTGGCCCGCCGTGCTGTTCGCCGCTGAGGACACCATCGGTGACAATCTACAGTACCGTGATTTGTTATTGGAACTCACCAGTCGGCCATTTGGTCATTTGCGTCTTTAGAGTCACTTCAACTAGAAAAAGTTAGCCACTGCCTTCAGGTTCATGCCCGGCTGGCCCGCCGTGCTGTTCGCCGCTGAGATTCTACAGTCACCTTTATTGGCCACTAAAGTCCGGTCGCCGAGCACATAGAATTTCGTCCAATGACTCCAATCTAACCTTCCTTATTGCTCGCGCGTATTTATATTGCTGTTGCGCTCGCACACTTACTGCGGCTGCCCGTCGGCTATCGGCTATCGGCTCGGTGACCGGGATTTAGCCAGTGGTCATTTTTACCACCGCCGCCGAGTTCAGACTCTGAGAGAAATGCTGTGCTGCTATACTCAATTATTAGCCGGCCAGTGGCCATTTGCGTCGTTAGATCTACTTCTCCGCCACACCACCATCGGTGAGAATCGACAGTCACCTTTGTTGGCCAGTGGTCATTTTCATCTTTAAATTTAACAATTTAGTTTAAATGTAACTAGTATAGGCGTTAATGATCCAGGCTAAGTTGATTCGAGGGAAAGTTTGACTATCAGTGGATAGGAGTGACAGACTACAAACTACGACTAATGAGGCTTCCCTTGGCAGCGAGCCAGGCGGTGAACGAGCTGGACTGGTACGGGTGCGCGCGGCGCGTGGGCGCGGTGCGCGCGCTGGCGGGCTGCGCGCGCTGCGGCCGCGTGCTGCTGTTCGCGCCGCCGCTGCTGCGCTTCGTCGACGCGCTGCCGCCCTACACCGACGTCAGGAAGCAGGTCAGTGTCAAATTGGAAAAAATCCTTTCAGACAAGTTGACGCCGCGATAAGTTTTTTTTTTAATAGTCCCGTTAGCCCCTCGTACTAAGATAAATATGCTTGTATCACGAGTGAGCTCACCACACTAGTCGAGCGTGTTACAGATAGCCCTCGCACCCTATATTGCTTACTTGACATTTCGCCTTTTGCCGACTCATCCTTTTCTATCCATAGCCTGCGATCCCTCACATCTCCACGCCAGTCTCAATCCACCATCCGAACTAGACGGCTGTCTTATCCTATTAATCTCGTGTTCTTTTTTTTAAAAACCCAAATATTCTGAGGCTCATAAGCGGCGGGGACCGAACCCGCGTTCCCCGGATCACGAGTCGGCCAGTCCGACCCCTTCACCGTTCGGCTATCGTGTCCTTTATCGTCCCATTATAGGTACGTTTGTCGTCTAAATTCATCGATAAGATTTTATCACGGCACACATCCTAGCCCTGCTGGACAAAGGTTTCCCCCAAGGATTTCTACAACGACCTGGTTTGCGCCCGCATCCAGGCACCTCCCGCGACCTTCACCAGATCGCCGGTTCACCTAGTGGGAGGGGCCTGCTCACACTTCGTCTTCCGGCCCGTAGTCGTCATTCGAGAGCTATGTGCCCCGCCCACTACCACTTGATTTTAACGATTCTGCAGGCCAAGTCGATCATTTTGGTTCTCCTGCGGATCGCCTCATTTCCGATTCGATCACGCAGGGAAACTTCGAGCACAGCACGCTCCATCTCCCTTTGGGTGACCTTAAGCCTTTTTATGAGGCTCATAGTAAGCCGACATTAAAAAGTAAAATTACTATATTGTAAGCTGTCCCTGATTTTGTGACGTTTTGTTAACAGACAGTGGCAATTATAAAAGCGTCGCCACTCGGCAAGAAGCGGAAGCGCGGGAACGACGAGCTGGCCATGCTGGTGGAGCCGCTCACTTACGAGGACGTCGTGCAGCAGTACGGCGTAGAAGTCAAGCTGCTCCATACTCACGAAAGGGTAAGATCATTATTTTATTTATTTAATTCACTGTGGACTTACAGTTTTAAAACATCCATAAGCAACAGATGCATATACACCACAAAATTTTAATCACCGAAAAAAAAATCTGGGTAATGAGTTATTGATACTGATCCTATTTATGCAAAAAGAAGTTAAATATAGTTATTCAAAATTTCCTCCCAAAATTGGTAATATTTTATGGACACACGCGTCGCTAGCAACATTAACGTAAGATAATGTAACACTTATTAGAAATCAAAATTACTTGAAATGTTGCATTAAAATGGTCTAAGTTAGCTCTTTAGCTTACTTACTTAAGTAATAATATTAACACTGGAAGCGTGGTCGAGGCGTGGTGAGCGAGAGAGACATATCGGGACAATGTGCGAGCGCGTACGACTACTCGGAGTGCCTCAGCTGTGACGCGTAAAATACGGACTAAAGAAAATTTAATAAAAAAATTGACTTTATGAAAAACATTTTTTTTTACTTTATATTTTTCACACATTTCTACATAACCTGTTAAAATTTTTTCGGTGATAAAAATGTAGGGGTGTATTACACAATTCACTTAAATATGTGGTTAAATATTATGAGACAGAATAATATTGTACCTATAGCTCCAAAATATACTGTATCATACTGTCTACAACAAACACGTCAATATGGGGTTAAGGTTAAAGGATGTAGCACAGTTATCAACATGGAAAGAGATCGTAACCGTATCAACTTGAAGCGGTCAGTATTCTTTGTATGAAACTCCATAACGCACACTTATCCGCTCCGTAATGTAAACGCCTCACCTCGCAGTTGACAGCGCGCGAAAGGCGATGACAGCTCGCGAAAGGCAATACGGTGTTGATCCCTTTCAGAGTTGATAAGTCTGCTATGAATGACCTTAATAGCCGTGGTTACTTTACACTTTACATGCTTGTGTAGTCACCAAAATAGTCCAGCCGGCTTAGCATGCGCGAGACGATATAATCATAGCGACTGTTTAAGACGATAAATGTATGAGCGTATTGTCATTAGCGATAAAATGATATAATAGCGTTAATCCTAGGCTAACAGAAGCCGACCGAGATCGTCCCTGAAATTGAAGTCCGAAGCCTCTAATCCTTATAAATTGCACTATCAATAGACATGTTGACACCACAGTCAATTGACGTACTTTTTAAAACTGTCAAAAGGGGCCATCCATAAAGTACGTCACACGAATTTCATGATTTTTTGACCCCTCCCCCGTCCTTGTCACAGGTGGTCACATTTCTGAGACCCCCCCCCCCTCCCTAGTGTGACGTCACATGTTTTGCAATTTCACATCGAAAAATTATTAAATTAACAAAAAAATAGCAACAAATAGAAACAGTAAAATCACGCGCGAGGTACGGTTCATTTGGCGGCATTATAGGCCAGTAGAATTAGATTTTAAATGTGAAATAATTCCTACAAAAGATTTTATTGATTTAATGGCTTCATTGGTTGCCCATTAAAACTCTCCTAGGTTTTCGACTTCGACGGAGTTGTGCTTAAGTGGTGGGGGTATTTTTCAGTTTAATTTATATTTCAAATTACGTGATTAGTATTTAGTACCTCATATTAGATTTCGAAATGTGATGTCACAAAACTTAGGACCCCTCCCACCCCTTGTCACACCATGTCACACTTTGTCGACCCCCTCCCCCCCTCTTTACGTGTGACGTACTTTATGGATGACCCCAAACGAAACTCTCCCATAGATTTTGTATGGCACTACAAGCAAGTGACGTCACTATTTTGTCAACCCAATTAAACTACTTTTTTCAATTACAATTCGAACAAAAATCGAAATTTACAGGTAATTTAAAATAAATTAGGTTTTTAAGACAATAATGAAGAGTCTTTTTAAAACAGTTGTGGTTTCGAATTATTGGGGTATGGTGTCAAACTGTCTATTGGTGATATAGTGTAGGTCTGTTTCCGACATTACTCGCTTTAAAAATCACCCTGAATAATGGTTATCTTCCGCAGAGCGCGTCCATGGCGAACATGAGAGAGTCGTTCACGGAACGGTTCCCACTCGCTGACGTGACGGCGATCGCCTTCTGCGCGGACGAAGCGCGTCACCGTGTCGCTGCCGTCGGCTTGCACGCCGGCTTCATACTCATCCTGTCGGTGTGAGCTGCACATTATTTTCAACTATTTTGAACTGTATACACAAGGAATAAGATACAAAATATTTTTGTTTGTCCAGTACTGAAATTTTACAAGTTAACATTAATTTTAAGGCCGGCTAAAGACTGAAAAAAGCTCAGTCATAAGTTCTCCTCTTGGTTTGCAACCGGCTTCGTGGCTTCTATTGTAAACCAAAACGCAAATTCAACGCTGCAGCTGATGAAGCTTTTTGTGTATGCGCTAAAATCAGAGCATAAGGACCATGTTACACAAAACATTGCATGACATCTTGCACAAGTCTGGATCCGGCTTTACTGTGATAAACAAGGATTTAATCCCGGAGTCTTGGATGTTTTTGATACGGATAGTATAAACATATATTATGTGGGTTATGTGTGTATCTATTTAAGTAAGTTGAACCGTTATTTAGACGCCATAGTATAAACTTTAATTAATCTGGGGATAGGTAATAAGTGTGTTAGATGGGAATATAACATATTATTATTATTTTGTATTTTTTCTATGGGTTTATGGTCCAGAGGTAGGCCTTTTCAACGGGTTTGTGATCTATTATTATCAGATCCAACACAAAGAGGCCATTTCGTGATAAGTTGATAAACACTTTATTTATACTATATACGCGAATACTATCTCTGCCTGCACTATTGAAGAGATAAAGCCAAAGACAACACCTTAAGTGCAAGACTACTATTAGTAATAAGACTTATATCTATTACTTGATTATGTAACTTTTCTAGATTATTAAGGCCCGAAGGCCGTTTGTGAAGCATAGACGTTGACCGAGCAAAATTACGAATACCATGTTTGAACGGGGCGTTGTTCTAAGATCGTAATCACGAGTATTTATCTATATTTGTATGAGACCACGAAGAAGCCCGCGGTTAAATCAACTTGACTGGGTTGTAGAAACTTAACAGACAAGGATTGTGAAACAGAGCTTAGAAGAGCAGATCGGTATTACTGAGTGTGCTTTGACCTTTTGCTTGACGCGCCAGTGTGCGTGTAAACCTCAAAATTTATCAAATTATTATCGTTAGGTATATTTTATACACGTTGATATAAATCATGTATTTACATGAAAGGGTCTTATCATGGAATGATGACCAATATTGTAATTTATTAATATTTTATGTGGGATAGAATAGGAAATATTACTACTGAGTATACAGTTTAAGGAAATTCACATTTACCTTAACTAGTACTTTCTTGTATAATTTTTTTTATAAGTACACTAGCAACATTATTATTTTTTTGGATGTGAAAAAATCATTTTATTATTTTTATAGTCTCAAAATCTGTTTTTGTACATCACGCTCTTACAATTAGTTGTTTACTTGCCATAGAGGTTATTATTTTATTTGTGTAAATTATGTATTTAGTAAAATTTCGAAGATAACAATATAATTAATTGTATATTACGACACGATCGTTGATAATATTTGGTTGTTAATATTTGATTTTAGCCATCATTTTGCGTATTTTTCTATTGTTTTGTCTATTGTGATTGAAATTCATGTCAAATAAATAACGCCGATTAAAGAAATTTTACTAAATATTTTTTATGTGAAAAGTCTAAAGTGTCAATATGCCACGAAAAAGGGCTCAAATGCGAGATTGTAATAAAACTTTAAATTATTGTGTCTACTCGTATGCCACATTGCCACATTGTGTATTAAAATTAATTTAACTCTATACGTGATTATGGTATATAATTTGTATAAATGTTGTAATAAATGTTTATATAATTGGAGTAGCGGAAAATAAAAAGGTAAGTGTGTATAATAAACTAAAATAACGATTATTTATTCTTAGATTGTATTGAAAACGTACATTATATCGGATTTCAAAGTGATATTATTTTTTAATTAACTTCTTGTGTAAATAACTACGGTTTAATTTTCTTGATAAGCTTGTTATCAAATAAATGTTAATCATATATAAAATTGTTTTATTTCTTTTATACATATTAATACACTAGATCTCGCTGATTTCCGTATAAAAAGTTGGGGGCATATAAAAAACTAAAAGTACCAGTGAGCCAAGAACTATTTTTCAAAATTATATCTCTCCTGGCCTGGAATCTTGTCTTCATTGCAACACTTGACTTGCACTTGATTTGCATTTTTATTGTTTTGAATATTATGGGATATTTTTTTTTGTAATAGTGACAAGTAATAACCATAATTAACGAAATAGAGTTATTAATTGCTCTACATATTTTTCTACATAACAACCAGAGCGTGCGCTTACTGAAATCATAAAAAACCTCCGATGTAACGATCACGATAGAACGTTGTATGTTTTCAGTGAGACAAGTGAGTTTTATTAGCGGTTTACGTTGCCACGAGCGTCACGAGCCGATTTGGCAGTGGTGTTCTTGCGGCAGCGAGGAGAGAACGCGTCGTCGCCCGGCGAGTATCGCACGCGCTCGTTCACGATAAATATTTAGAGCCAAGAAAGCAAACCGGTTTAAAATAAAAGTAACTATTCGATAAATAAATAAATAACCCGGACGGACATTGATTTTCTCTAAAATGTACTTGGGAAAACACGGAAAATGCGCCTGAACGTTATTTGAAAAACGGAATCGCGAGTTTTTTTGTTGATGAAATATTAGTGAACTTAAAAATGATGATGGCCAGTGCGAAAATTATGAGGGAGTGCAGCTCGGAACTGAGTTCGGACGTGCGCTCGCTGTCCGTGGCGTCCTCCACGGAGGAGCAGGAGTCCACCACCACGGAGTCGGAGTACACGGAGGAGGAGAAAGAGTACGAGCTGGACGATCTGCAAATACTCAAAACTATTGGTAAGTGAAGTATTTCACCAGATGGGAATTACCATCCCATCATGTGGAACAGATGCACCTCTTGATCCCGGGTTCGATTCACGGTCGCGTCAATTTTAGAAACGATCTTTTCTGAATTAGCTCTTAGGTAACTTTCAGCAAAAATCTGTCGACTGATCGTATCCTAGGGATGTAGAACTTGAGATCATGATCGGTGCATACGTGCGTAGTTTTAATATTACGAGTAATCATAAATCTTTCTACTGTTCATAAAAAAAACCTCATTTTTATTCCTATTTATTTAAGTAATTTTGTTTTCATTTGAATATTAAAAGTAACAGACATTACCTAGTAAACTTTTAAATTACTTTAGATAGCGTCTGTAGACTTTGCCTAATAAGTATTTAGTGCGTGCGTGGGTTCTAAATCTTTTTATGATTTAATTTACGTTACTTTTCATAGGAGAAATATTTTACTTTTAATATTTGCAAACCTTTAACAGAAACTTTCATAATAATATATTACTGGTGGTGTAAAATACCCTAGCATCCGGCACTAAATTATTTATATCGCAACAGAATCGATTGCAAGTAATCTCTTTAAAGTAGGTATTAAAATTAAAAGATATTTAATTAAAATTGATTGATAGAAATATTATTTGAAAAGTGTACAGTACAAAACCCTTGATTTAATTGTGAGGTTGTGTACTTTCTGCTGCTTCCGGAATCCACATATACAGCCAGTAGCGAATGTCCTTCCAAAACATTTTGAACCATACGATTAGTAATGGAGTCTATTAGGAGCGTAGAGTTGCTTATGGTTCTTTTTTTTGTTTCTCGATATACTCAGAATTAGCGGATTCGAATTTTATAAAATAATAGATAAAATATTATTTTCAAGCCTTATATCACTTGATCACCTGTGGTAACAAGTGTTTTTATTATAATCTTAATATGGGTCGCTCGGTACGCAGTTCAGTAGAACATGCTCGTGCACTTTCATTTATACATAAGTATAACTGCCATTAAAAGATAATTGCACATGTAGCGACTAATGAGGACTTCGATGGAGTTCTCAGAACACATCAAGCATTCATAAGGTAGACCAAAGCTGTAAAATATAAATCATTTAGCGTCTCAGCAACCCACACGGTGACATTATGGCAAGTTAATGCGTTTTCTCTGGAAAAACAATATGAGTAGCGTACACTGTCTGCAGTTCGTAAGAAGTTAAACACTTCTTTGCATGTCGTGGCCCATTTTTTGTGCACTGACTCAGTCGACTTAGCTGGCGCATTTAAAAATAAATTTTATAAACTTTTTCAATATTTTTAACAAGTCATTATTGTTTAAATGATAGGTATATCTTACTTATTTTATTCTTTATGCTAATTTTCTTGCGACTGTACCTAACTTACTTATTTTTTATTTTTTTATTACAGATAAAAAAATACCATAGGTTCATTGAAGATTATGTAGAAAAATCAAAGCTCTATCTCGGCAATAATATTGAGATTATTTTTACGACAAATATTGTGTTACTTTTTGGTACGAGTTTTCGTTCGTTCGTTCGTTCGTTTCAGCCAAATGACGTCCAAATGAATTGACCTCTTTCTCGAAGTTGGACCTGCCTAACTGGACTGTTTGTCCCAGGTATACATAATTGTCAACAACTTCGAGTGTAGAGTCTCCAACCTTCAGAGAAGTGGGTGCAACACGGACATTAGACATGATTTTTGTCTTGTCCATGTTCATTCTGAGGCCCACTTGTTGAGAGGCTCTACTGAGGCCATCGAGCATTGTGCCTAGATCCTCCAAGGTCTCAGCCATTACTACGATATCGTCCGCGAATCGAAGGTGGGTGATGTACTCGCCTTTGATATTTATGCCAAATACGCTCCAGTCCATAAGCTTGAAGACATCTTCCCGGGCGGTGGTAAACAGTTTTGGAGATATGACGTCTCCCTGTCTTACCCCGTACGAGTATTATTCCTAGTAAAAGCATAGTAAAAGTGATTTCTACTGATGATCACATTGGCGTCCTCACAATATTTATGCGATTCCGGTCTGTAAACTGCTTAATATCCGGTTAATGCAAAATAAGCTCTTAAAAGGATTTTATACAACTTGGTTGTAAAATATTGCAAGATAAATAGCGTCAATAATTATTACCTAGTTTAATTTAATTAATTTTAGTTACTTTTTATCTGCTAAACGTCTCAAGAAGTAGGTAAACGATTTGTTATCGTCGCCATATATTGGACTTTTTATAAGTATGTATGAGTAAATTCAAATAATGTTAATTTTATTTGGTTTTAACAATATTTACTTTAAAACTAATCTTTTTAAATCACTTCGCAATTATTTCGAAATGTAAACTGTGATTTCTCAAATGACACCTAAAAATGGCGTTTCGTAGCGAGACCAATTTTAGCATTATTAATGGTTATTATGTTAATTAGTAAATAAAAAAAACTAAATTAATAAAATCTTGCATGGGGAATTAATGTCAATGGTATAATAAAGGAGAAAGTAGAATCTTATTAGCTTAAATAAATATAACAGATATAATATCATCTGAACCATTGCATTATGAATATCTAATCGGATGTTTGATTATATTTTTATTTAAATTTATAATCCGGATATGTATCTTCTTGATTCTTAAAATTATAAAGCTAAATTAAATGAGGCCCAATTTGTACAGTAGACTTTCTGTGCAAATAAATCAAAATTCAATCACGAATTCAATCAGCGCCAAGGAATATGGGGGAATTAGATCAGCAAGTACGCCCATGAGTTACATGTACCTACTTGTCTACTTGTACATGCTCGATAGAGTGTCGTAACACAGACAAGGGTATTTAGGGATTGATATGGTATCAGTGAAAGTGGTTATGGATGGACGGCGATCAGTAATCTGCACGCGACCTGATTCTACTCATAAATGGGGCAAGGTCGATCGAGCCACATTCAGCTGACCTAGTAGGATAATTCAGCTGGCGGCTCCATATTTACGCACCTCTCAATAAATTCTATTGTACTTGAGTTGAGTGAGCCACATTTTGTATTGATCTGAAAGGTCAGTAAAATTAAATAAAGTACAGTATAGGATGTTACATGACCCTGCTGTTTCGCGAAAAAAAAGGTTGGCTAATGTTAATTAAGTAAGCGTAAAAAATAAAAATTAAAGAAAAGAAAGCTCCTAGTATGTAATACTATTAAAAAAATCTCCTTAGAACATTTCAGAAATAATGTGTTAACATTTTCTATCTATAACAGTAAAATCTAGATGCTACCTACTTGCTACTTACCCACTTAGGTGTAAAGTGATAAGTGGTTCCGCCGTCTCTACTTTGGAAGAGCCAAATATATTTATTGGTTTGCATTTTTTTCCAACATTTTTCACGGTCTGTTCCATTAAGAAAAAAAAAATCTGAATGTGCATAAAAATGTAGCTGTTTTTAGACACGCGTTTTTCAACAAATAGCTATTCGCTTCTGAATAGGCGAGTAGGATTTTGCAGGCTTATTCCACTATTCCCCATTGACAATCCCCGTTTACGCCAATTGGAGCTTATAATGTTAAAAATAAAATCCTAATATAACGGGGAATTTATAGTGAACAAAAAGTTCACTAATCCCCGTTGACAGGGATTGTCAACGGGGAATAGTGGAATAAGCCATTTTGCACACGCATAGCAAGTTATTATATTTCAGTACAATACAATGTAGGCAACTGTTACTGTAAACGGCTCGCTTGTACTTCACATTATAGGGGCGAAACAGAGCGCGTAGTGTCTCAGGTCTCAGGACGCGTGTCGTGGGCCGAGTTGGTTGTATTGTCCCTCGGTCGTTGACACAGAAGGCTTCCAATCTCTCCTTCCATCATGCTACAGGTTTCAGGTCAAAAACTTCAGGAGATATTCAGTCGCGTCCGAAAAAGCGTCAATAAACGACGCTTTTAAAAATAAATGGTACTCATCAAGGTACATTTCACACATCGTAGTAATTTATGATTAAATGTTTCCGTCATCCGGCGTTAGTGTCATGAGTATTGAGTTTTCATGTTGTTATGGATAAATATTATTTAAGCTAATTTACTAGCTATCAGTCAATAAGTACACACAGGTAGTGCAAGTATAATAAATTATCTCACACTAATTGGAATACCTACAATCTACCTACATGCCATTTTTTGCTCTACATAAGATTTTTATCAAGTACGTAGTCTATACTGTAAAGTCAATGGAAAATGGAATGACAATGGAAAATTCTTGATCATGAAAATACTAATCAAAAAGCTTATCGTATTTTTATATTTTGCAACTATGTTTATTATTAACGTTTCATTCAATGCCGATAGACAATGTTGAATTTCATTCCGGCAAGGAATGCAAACACATAAGTATAAATATTATGAGTTTTGCGCACGCGACCGATTGTTTTGTCACGCGTGATTAGCGGCAGATATGTGGGGCAGTGTGCCGCGCCCGCTGCTCCTGCGCACAGCAAACAGGAAGCATGACGCGATTAATAAATAAATATACACCATTTTATCTGAATTAAACTCACCTCAATTCCATTCGCGTTCGCATAGAGTGATCCCTAAACAAATTAGGTAAGTGACTAAACTATTTAGTTAACACGCGGACGTCGGCTGCTAAAATAAAATTGCGGGCACCTGAAACCGCTCACGTTGGTCTAGTTCAGTTTAAAAGTAGTACGTAAGTGGGCACATCCATTAATGTTATGAGATGTCTGTTTTTATTGGTATTAAATAGCCAACCATTATTAATACTTTCTGTCTTAGTTAGTTTATGGTATGCGTTGATGGACACTGGCTTTGTCGGTTCACATAGTTCACGCACACTCTTACTTAAGCTCATTGAAGTTGCCAGTGGAGTCAAATTAAGAAAAGAAAGTTAAGAACAATGTGGTAGTCTGAAAGCGGCGTGCAGCGGAGATGGAACCGGTCGCAGCCGGCGCATAATACACCAGTTATTTCCACGTTCACACTGGA